GCACCGGCTGGGAGGGGTAGAAGCTCAGGCAGTCGCCGTCTCTGCAGGAGGACATCTTGCTCATGCAGTCGCCCAGGCTCTTAAGGCCTTCAGCCGGAGTGGAAAAGTCCTTCGCGAACTGTGAGTCATCGACCGTGTCGTCAATCGTGGGCAACGTTGCAGGAAATGTCGGACTGTTTCTGCACGTTAGGTCGTATGTTGTGTACATTGGGTAGTAATTTCACAAACTGATTTTCCCTGAATTTTGTTATGTATGTATGTATGTCGTGCACAAAATAATGGGATAACTTATTATCTTCAGCAGCATCTGAAGCAAATGGTGGCAATGTCAAATGCCGTACTTTGTTGAAAAGCACTGGACCGCACACCGCTTTTATGTGCTTCTATTTTAATGTGCTTTACTTTGCTATTCCGCGTATCTTACATAGTACAATGTTCAGCTTCGTACACAGCATTCAGTTCTGTGCATTCTATTTCAACGTACACGGTAGCCTGCCCTTGGAAAAGCTTTGCAGAGGGGCGCCGTTGCTGGCACTATGCACACTGGGAACCTCTGGGAAGCCAGATTGAGTGAGACCCCACCTTTCCAACCAAAGCTCCCTTCATTCTCTTGCTGCAAACGAACCCTCTGGCCTCCGAAGGGGCGCTATCGCAAAATTCCTTTACAACGTTCACTTTCTCTTCTGGAGACAATCCTCCGTTCACATAGCCAATGTAGCTGCACAGCCACGAAAGCAGGATGGAAAATCAAATATTGTCAAAATTTTGAGCCATATAGGATCTGTGTTCGCTCTCAATGGTATAAATATTATAATGTAAAGTGCCTTTAAATCGCGAGCTTCTTCACCCAATATCAGAAGAAGCACTTACGACCAATTCGAAAAAATGCACCAGTGATCCATCTCCCTTGCACGACATCCGCCAGCAAGGAAAAGACCAAATAGCACTTTTTTTGAACACATATATATGCATTTCATCAGTGTTGTGCGTGCTGCAAGCACGGGAATAACCCAAACCCGTAAATTTCGCACACGTTTGAACACGTGTTGTTTGGCTCTTTTTTCCCTGGTGATCAATGCCTGTTGGAAAACGTCTCAAAAAATAATCTATCTGAGAACAATTTGTATCACGCAAGTCCGATGTCGGAAAATTCAAATGCCAAACCAGAATGAGAACCCTCCATCCCTCCCCTTAGTCCATCGGAGTGCACCATGGGAACAGCAGCGGCATGCCACACGCCCGCACGCAAGATTCAAAGCTGCCATCGCCGCTTGCTGGCCTGTCGCCCATAGGACGCGCCCAGAGCCGTGGGGAATTGCCCACGCACCTTTTCTGGACATCGGCCGACGAGTGGCCAGGGCGGAAAGGTTGACTGAACTCGAAGGGCCTGCACCGGAAGAAGAGTAAATTCAGGCGCCTGTACCGCGTTTTGGAGCAGTAGATCCCCGCTTTCATCTCCGCAATCACGAAATCGCCCATGAGAAATTCTCTCCTCCGGCACGAGAGATATGGGAGTGATGCGCTCGCAGCGGGAACGGCATGATATTCAGTTTCTGAACAATGTGCGTGCACAAACTAGCACAACACTGTTGTGATTTTGAGCACACAATGTCAACTAAACATGCAATAGCTGTTCGGGAGCCAATGCAGACAACGAACACCCAGAGACACAGTTTGCGAATGGCGAGACGTCTTTCACGAGAATTCCCTCTCATTCTCTGGTATCAAGCGAATAGATATACTTCTATGGATATGCAATTTCATCAACTCGATAGTAAAGCGCAACCGACGGCTAAAAAGGTATCAAAAACACGGCAGAGAAACATCCTTCTCGTTCTTAATGCCTTCGCATTAACATTGCTACTCGAAAGTTGAGAAAATTAGTGCGTGAAATAGAGCAGCGCTCTATTTATTCCTAGAAGTAGAATGACCAAAATGGCCACTGTTGCGTGAGGCAGCCCCTCCACACGCCGCCCAGCTCAGCGGCCCTTTGGCTCCGAGCGATACCCCGCCACTCACGTGTCGTTCTCCTCCCAGCCGGGAACCTCCCCCGCCGCCTGGACCGCCGCCAGCGCGAGGCACAGCAGCGGGAACGCGCCCATGTGTGTGCCCCCCGCTCCCGCGGCCGCCTTCAGATGCCCTGGCGCGGATTCCTTCCACCACAGCGCTTGCCCGAACGACCTCCGGACGGGACCCAGCCAGCGCCCTCGCTCCCCGGACGCCTTGCCAGTCAAGTCGTTTTGGCAAACTTCGCTCCCAAACTCTAAACGAAAACTTCGACAGTGTTCAGGAGAGAACCTTCTCTATGGGGCTCTGGAGGGCTGTGGGCGGGTGCACCACCCGGCGTGTGCCTTCCCACAGAGAGCCGCCTTCTGGGAGAAGAGCTCGAAAAGAAGAAGAGGAGAGGAGGGTTCGCTTGTACTGTAGGCGGAAGGGGGGAGCTTCCGATGCGCTTCGGTTGCCCTTCGATTCGATTGGAGGCAGTCGGCTGCCCGGCTGGGCTCTGGGCTTGCCAATGCTCGACTGACCCACGGTCGACGTCGCTTTTGGCTGTTGGCCAAATGGGACCGTCGTCGGGCGTCGGGGTATGCCGTTTGGCGGTGCGGCGCGCGTGAGACTATTGCGTGGCGCAGTGGATATATCCATTCCTTCATCTCTGGGCATTCCTGATTTAAACCGAGGCTGGGGGATGGGGTGGGGCGGGGGCCGTCCATGTTGAATTTGTTTGGGCAACAGCTGGAAATCGGGCTGCAGGAGAGCGGAATGCTCAATGAGCTAGAATTGTTGCTGGCGTGGGAAATTTTCATCTCCACAGAACGTTGGAATGCGTGCGGCATCTATGTTTTCAGTCGGGGAAAATGACAAAAGGGGGTCCTCTGACCGCCCCCTGTGCATTAAGCGCGTTGCCAAACCGGCGTCAGACCGGCGCCGGTCCGCAAAAGCCGGACCTACTAGGGGCATCCCCGCAGAGGACCCCCTTTTGTCAATTTTCCTCTTGGGGGTGCTGTATGAGTTTGTGGGTACTTCGCGATGCCATTTAGATGACAACCCCTCCCTCCCCAACCCCCAACCCCCACCACCTTTGGTGTCCCAATAAAATGCTATTGATATCCATAAAAAATACATGAATCATGATGAGCAATGACATGATTGTGTCAGTATGGCATGGTTTCTATGTTCAAGGGTCATTTTTCAAACTAGATGTTGCCAATGACTTCACTTTACAGAAGCGCTCTTACAAGATCAAAGACCTACATGTGCCCCGCATCTGCCAAAACTTGTGTGTTGCAGATTTCAGCCCCCACAAAGCTCACAGAAAAACAGAATATTCAGACCAGAAATCACACCAGAATCACACCAGAACATTCAAAGTTGTGGGCAACATCTCCGATTGTGATTGGGTGCACCACAGCGCCCGCAGCGACATGTCTTCTTTGGTTGTCCACCTTCACCTGCTGATCGAATCCCCATCTTTCTGAGCCGCCCAGCTTGTTTAACCCTCACAACAGGAAGTACATCCTGTTCTTGAACATCATCATCCTGATTGGCATCCTCATCAACTTCAGGGACACTATTGTGCAACAATGGTAGGCACACCTGACCGCGGCTCCAGTCGCCGCTTGCTCTCCCTGCAGCTGCGAAAGCTATGACTCCCATAGCTCTGATCGCTGCATGCTCCCTGCGCCCTTCCAGAGGGGGCGCCCCTAGTAGGACCGTGGTCTGGTCTGGCGCCAGACCGGTTCCGTTATAGCGTCGGTGTGGCGCCGGTCTGGCAACGCGCCTAATGTACAGGGAGCGATCAGAGGATCCCCTTTTGTCAAATGCACCCCGCAGAGGACCCCCTTTTGTCAAGACATCTCGCAGAGGACCCCCTTTTGTCATTTCGCCTTTCATTTTCTTGTACTCCCGTTTCTTGATCACAGTTTATCGAATGTTTGTAGATTGAAATCAACCAAGACAGGAAATCCGTTGATTTCCTGCAATGGAAGATCGCCGGAAATGCCACGAGAATGTGACAGTGGTCGGACGATGTATTCCCTTCAAATAAGTGCCACCACGCTTCAAAGCGCTGCACGTTACTGATCGTCGATAATCCATCAATGCATATCGATTTAAACACAAACCCGCTTGTGTGAAAACGGCATCAGGCTGCAGCGATATGCATCGACGCACGTGCCTGCCGCAAGCACGCAGATGGCGATGGCACCTCCAATTTGTCCAGTGCGAATGCCATAATGCGCAACGCCATCATGCACAATCAAACAGCGAGGCATTTGCAGAGCTCCGGCTGTGGTGCAGGTGCTGGTCAACTGCGCCACCCAATGTTGGACGCTGCCTAGGAATTGACACGCAAGATGGGACCGGGCAGAGTGAGCAGGCAGGTTGCCACACAAGGGTAGGGCGAATTCTAGCATCCGCAGGTGCGAACCGGATCTGACAGGCCGGGCCAGCAAGGACTTGCCAGCATGTTCTGCAACGTGCTTTCCCTCAACAAACAGGCCCGCACACAGAGATCTCGACGCAAACGTGAAAGCCCAACCAAAAAGCCCGTAGCCAAAAAATGTCAAAGCATACATTGTTACCCTGCCCAAATGCTCGATCCCTCGAGTCAAACCAATCGTTTTGAAGTCGCGCCAACGCCATGCTGTACTAACATCATTTATGCTGATCTCGTTGTCCCAGATTCTGGCCGCTCCCTACGGCCACGAACCGCCCCTGCGCCTCCCACTCCCCACTCCGTCCCCCCCCACACACACACCACCACCACCCACCCCCCGGCTCCCTTCCAACTCTTGAGCCAGAAGGAGTCACAGAAGCATTTGGCAAGGTCGCACACACCCGTTGCCCCAGGCAGGCTGGCCCACCAAACTAATGCCTCGATCCAATCCAGCACCCACAATCCTGTTATACATGCCGCGGCATGCTTGCCCCGCCACCCGTCCCAGCACCCACAATCCTGTTATACATGCCGCAGCACGCTTGCCCTGCAGCCCGTCCCGCTACCTCCTCCTCCGGCTCCTCTTCACGCGCCTCCACCACCAACCCCGCTTCATGGGAGCCGCCAGCGGCCTTTGGCTCCTGTCCTCCGCCTCCCACACGCACTCTGCAGCCAGCCCCCTCATGTGGGCCTCCCCCACCTCCGTGATCTGGCGGCACCTGATCAGGAATGCAGAGGCAGATGGTCAGCAAATCAGCGGAATGAACACTGGGAAAAACAATGGACATGCCACAACATATTCAACCCTTCCACATAATAACGTAATGCTTGGCCTTTTCTTGGGAAGAAAATTAACAAAAATTTTGCGGAGCAACACAAAAGTAATGCAAAATAATGCTCCGAAAAAATGCAGAGCAAAAAGGTTAATGCTGAAACACTTTGATGCGGAAGGATTGAATATATTACAGTACTGCTCTTGCTTGGTTTGATGGCAACATAGCCCCCGATGGCTGGAAAGCGATCAATGGAATTTCATCATCATCATCACCTGATCAGGACCACCCTCTTGAGGGCTGCCAGCTTGGCCACGTGCTGCAGGCCGTCGTCTGTGAAGTGCTCGCAGTCTGTCAAATCTAGGTGGGTGAGAGATCTCAGGCTCAGCAAGTGCTCCAGGCCCCTGTCCGAAAACCTGGTGCAGCCGGGGAGGGCCAGGTGGTGGATGGCAGTCAGCTTGCCCACATTGCGCAAGCCATCGTCTGTGACATTGCAGTTTGAAAAGTGGACCCAGGTCATGGAAGAGAGCTTGGTCAAGTGGGCCAGCCCCGTGCCGGTGATTCCCCAGGCGTCGGAAATGGTCAGGTGCTTGAGGCCCGACAGCTGTCCCACATGGCTGAGGCCATTGTCGGTGATCTGATAGAAGTTCATCAAGCCCAGTTGCTTGAGTCCGGTGAGTTGCCGCAGGGCCAGCAGCGCCTCGTCTGTGACGGCGAAGTAGCCACAGAGTCGGAGGCGCGTGAGTGCCGTCAGTGCGCCCAGATGCGGCAGAACCTTGTCGTTGACGTCCAAACATCGATAATCCAGATCCACAAGGTGGTCAAAAATTGCCAGGCTGGCCACGGCATGCTCGCCGATGCCTCTAAAACCCCTGGCGAAGGTCAGGCACTGCAGTCTCGTGAATTTGCCAACCACACGTGCCATGAACGGTTCTTTGGAGAGGGTGAGGGCGGTGACGGCATCTGTTGCCCACCGGTGCCAGTGCCGGTTCACAAGGCGTGCAGGTTTGATTAGACACGTGCTCCCCATGTTGCCCCTTTCCAACACATCCTTCACACACTCCAGTACTTGGAAGGTCAGGTGTCCCCAATCCGATGCTGGGTCTCCATCCTGGGCATACATCACAACATGAGCAACAGTGTATTGCAAATCTGTGAGCTGATTTCTTGCTTTTACCCTGCACCACCTTGCTGTCCTGCTACACCTGGAGACCATTGCAGCAGCTGTCTTGGTTTGAAAATGAACCATGCTTCAGTGCACTTGCTCCCCACAAGGTGTGGGGGTGGGGAACGATGGGTTGCCATTCCATAAAAGGACAACTTCAGAGCTCACAGAGCTGTCAGCACATTCACTCCAAAATAGACTTTGCTTATCTCACTGTTTGAGTCCAATCTTTCAAAGCCTTCGGTGAGGACAGCACTGTTTAAGAAACACTCCAAAGCCAACCTTGTCCAAGAAAGCTATCTGTTGCAATCGATGCTGGCTGCATTTTGAGGCGATTGCTTGTCAGCTTGAGAGTGAACAATCTGCTCGTGGCTGCAACTCCATCGACAGAATTAATCAGGTTGGCAGCAAAAAGCTTTGCAATAGGGAAAAATGGTCGTAATTCCATAGCGGGTGCCAGGGCAGTGCTTTCGCACACTGCAACAATGTAATCAAAGCGAATTTCTGCCAGCAATAGACTAAGTCTGGATGACTGCTTCTTCCCAACTGGCCTTTGAATGCACTGCAGAGAGACACACCTTCATGGCATGGACGGTGTCTTTGTCGCAAAACCAGTGATCCAGGAACAGTCCAAAAAGGGTTGCTGGGGGCTGACCTCATCGAGGTTATCCCAAGATGCCATAGTTTTGAAACCACAGAATACACAGAAACTGTCATACTGGGGAACTGGTCAGACATTGCACAAATTGGCATCAGAGCTTCGCAGAACTTTGCGATGTTTGCAATGCAAAGCTTTCCATCACTGTGCCCTAGAAAATTTATCACCTGGTCTGGTAATGATCCTTCAGTTACCATGTTGCCCTCTTGCAGCAAGCGCATTGGCGTCTTCTGTGGCAGCAAAGTCAGCATTCAGCCCCAACCAACAGACGGCACAATTCTTGCACGTTCAATCAAGCTGTGGGGTCTGCAGGGCCTTTGGGTGGGATCCCTGGGAAATCGGCCTCAGGCTGTCCAAACAACTGTGACACCAGGAAAACACTGCAAAGAGTTGAGAGTCAGGCGAAAGCCGTTGTCAGGTTGTGCAGGTTGCATTGTCCATGATCATTGTCTGAGGAGCCATCTCAATTGTGTTTGCCCTGGCACTGCAAAAGGTGGAGTACCAGGACACGCCTGTTCACAATTTGTTCTGTTTGGCACATTTATGGGGGATTATCCGACCGTTTAATTTGCTTTATGTTGCTGCATGCAGGATGTGGGGATTGTCAGTTCAATAATGCCACAAAAATTCCCAACTAGCTTGGGACAACAAAAGAATGGACTCAGCAGAGACCATGCCCTGCCTCTTGGCATCGACAGCACCAAATGACCCACCCAGCCACCTATCTATTCATGGCACGAGCAGCTGCTGCACACATGCCCATTTCACATGCCATGTCATGTGTCCGCAAGTCATGCTGCCAATGAACTTTGGGATTTCCGCATCATCTCCTTTTGCATAGAAAGCATCTCACAAAATTCTTGTGCAGCGGAGCGTGATTGTGTGCCCTGTTTCCCTTGTCTGCTAAAGAGACAGTTTTCAACAGGAAGCCCTGCAGGCATGATTCTGAACAGCCAGGCAGATTCTGACTAAGCCGCCTTTCGATGGATTGCTCATCGCTGCCGACAGGCGAGGGGCAACAACACCAGCCAGAAGTTTGGGCGAGCGGGTCGGTGGGGAGCGGCGAGCTGCCGCGCGATGGGCGCTCCCCCGCACCCGGCGCGCCGCGCCAGAAATGGCCCGGAGCGCCAAAACCGACATCCGCCCCGCCGGGGAGGACGGCAAGGCCTGGCGCGCATCAAATCCCAGCGGTGCTCTCGGGAACGGCGAGGCCCGAGGAGCGAGCCAACGGCGGCATCGGCGCAGCCCCTAAGCCCAGGCCCCATTCCCGGAGAGGTCGCGAGCGGAGCAGCCACGGCGACTCCGATCTGGCCAAAGGCGCCACAGCACGGTGACCATCGCGGTCATTCCCGACAAAATCCTCCCGCCGTGCGATCACCGGAGCCTGTCCGGCGCACAGCATCGCCGGATGGCCGCGGCCCGTCCGACAACGCCCTCCCCAAGATTGGCTCCAAGGGCCCATGCCCCCGCCCTCCCGCCCATCCCACCCCAGCGCGAACGAACGAACCATCTCCAGGCCTCGCGCGACAGCTCCAATTCAATCCGAATCCAATCGACAGCAGCGCGTGCCCCTCTCGGGCGGGCCACGCCGGCCGGGGGGCCGCATTCAAACAACCGCACCCCACCCACCGCAGGAATCAACCGACTGCCCCGCTCGCCAAAACCGCTCTCCACGGCTCTGTTGGGGATGCCCGCGGAAAGGATCGTTGCCTCGGCCCCTTAAGTGCCGCTCCTGGCCGCCTGACGGGACAAGGCCTGCCGGGACTCGCCCGCCGCGCGGCACCGGTGGCGCGGCCCAGCCCCAGCCCAGGCGCCGCGGGGGCCCCCTGAGCGGATTAAGTACGGGCCGCGACGACAACGTCACGGGCGACCTCTGCTGATGTTGCGCCCTGGAAACGGGGGATTGTTGCGATGTGTGGGGGAGGGGCGGGTGGGTGCCGATCAGGGGATCCAAGGGGGGGGCTTTGTGTGAGGGACGCACCCGACGGGTCACCGCTGGCTGCGCTGGCGATTCTTCTGAACCGCCGACACTAAACTGCGCTGATCGCCGAAGGCAGGGGTCGCGTCCGGTCAGGGAGGCGCAAATTCTGTGGGCGCTGGCTTTGGTGCCATTTCAGGGAAGAAATGGTCAACTGAGTGATGTAAAGGGCTGAGCCTCGTGCCATGATTTCCAGCAATATAGTGTGCTGTGCGACTCGTTCGCATTTTATTTTATATTTTTTTCGTATTGCTTTTGTGGGGCGAAATGGGGAACCCACCGCCAGGCCGGGCCTGGCGAGGACTCCGCGCCTTGATGCGTGGTGCTCCTTGGCGCGGAAAATTCGTGATTGGGCTCCTTGTCTGATCAGCGGGATTCCCCAAGTTCGGGGAACATGCAGATGCTCACTGCTGCTGGTAGCCCCGAACCATACACCACAACGCCGGGGTGTCTGAGGTAGGCGCCGAGCGTTCGCTGCCGGTAGGCGTGTCATGCCAGTCCTGCGGTGCGACCGGGCAGCTGGATCCAAACGATGTGGCGCCCTGCAGCAAAACGATCACTGCCCACACTGGCGAAAACTGTGACATGAAACACGGTTGAGACATCATGATCAGGTCCCATTTTTACACAACTTGAACAGAATTAGAACACAATTGTGTGAACTGAGCAAAGTTTTGGCAGTGTCAAGCTCAAATGAAATCTACCCCCGTTGCTCACGAGATCCTTGCTCTGCTGTCGCATAAAGGCATGATGCCTTGTCCCGTTGACCTTGCCTTCCCATAATATAAACTGTTGTTATCATTGAGAGCAAAGGTTTGGCCTCCTTTTGCGATGGCACACGATATTGTCAGTGCCAACTTGTGATAACACATAGTGATTACTGTGCACAGGTGCAAGCATCTTTTCCTCCCTTCTCGCTTCCCCTGTCTGCTTTTCTCTGGTTGTATAGCTTTTGGCATAATCGTGCGTGTGGACAGCCCATTTTTTAGGAAATTTCTGGCCTCGTAGATCATGATCAAATTTTGTGAGATCGTTGCATTCCGTAACATGGTATTTGAATTTGGTACTCTCAACGCCAAATGTCTCTCCAACCCCCCTCCCACCCCCACCCCTAATGCCAGTCCCTTGATTCGATGCCGGGATGGCTCGGCAAAATTACCTAACTGTGCGATGCAACTTCAAAGTTTTTATTGCAGGAAGCAGCCCAAAATATTGGGATTGTAGTTGGTTGAAGAATACGATGTTGAAAACCATGCTGGGGGATGGGAGCAGCCTCAAAAGGCTGTAACTGATCCAGGCTAAGACACAGCTCAAAGACTGAAAGCTTTTTGGAGGTTTTGGAACAAGTCGTGAGCTGTCTGCCGCTGATCAGTGGCGTTGCTGTGCGTATGCCCACATTATCTTGATATTAGTGCAATTACAATATCTCTCAGCGTCGTTGCCCCCCCTCCTCCCCGCCCCCTCCCCCGTTAACGTTCATTTAACGTTAAGTGTACCAGAATCCAAATACTATTTTGTAGTTTATTATATGTAGAAATTTACTATGTAGTACAGTGGCGTGGCTCTTTAAGCCCGCCCCGTTACAACCCCATTTCACCGGCGTTATTGACCGTTGGCCTTATTCAGGTCCGCAGCCCATTTAAGCTGTAGAAGTTCTTTATGACACATTTAACATCATAGAATGTGTAGATTGATTACTGCTAAGTGTATTCTGATATCAAAATATTGTTAATACTTTATTCGTTGCCCAATAAGAAGCGTAGTACTTTGCTTGGTAGCATTGATTGTCAATAGGCAGTCATCCAATCGAAGGAGGGTGGTTTTGAACTGGGTGACCAGGGCTATGGGGTTGCGAACGCCCCTGTGCCTGCGTTAACACAGCGCTAAAGGCCTGGTATCATAGCCTTTGCCGTTGCTGCGGTCCTGCCCTTTTTTACCAGCCATTCCTCGACCTTGGATCTCTCCGCCGCCACCCGTCGAATAGTTCTTTCCCCACAACTGAACTCGTTGGCCAATGCAGCGTGTCCAACTTCGCTTTCAAAGAATCCAACATATCCAACCTTCTGTTCCATCGTCAACCTCGTGCGTTTACCGCCCCCTTGAGCAGTCACTCATTCCACCGATAGTCGCTTGAACTTGTCTTTGTTTGTGCCAGAGCCATCGGCGTTGTCTTCGCCCAATTGTTTGGCAATTGCCGAATCACTCTCAAAGAAGATTTGACCTTGGTCAACGTCCATAGCATCGAAAGGCGGCAACAACTCGCCCATACACTTCCCCTTGTAGACAATGGATCGAGGCAGCGCGACAACCCGATCGTAGCAAAGGCTGCGCACACGATCCATTTCTGAATCGCCATCGGGATCGACTTGTCCACAGATCCCGTGGAGGTACCCAGCACACCCAGAGCACTTGTGTATAGTGTAGTGAGGCGGTTGGGGGGTGTCGTGGGGTCGTCTGCACATCTTGCCTGTGGCCACGTCTTTGTAATACTTTAGGTCGTGCCCCTAGATATGGCCGATTTTGACCGGCCTTATTGACCGTTTGGCCTTATTCAGGGCGGCGGCCTTAAAGAGGACACCCCACTGCAGTAGTTTATTCCCTGACGAGCCAGGCGGCGTGCTTTCCCATTCGGCCAGCCGCATTGCATAGGCCCTCGCAGGCCAGGGGGAATTTCAGGAATACGCTCGCCTAAAAGGAAGATGCAATCATGTGGAGCATAATATCCAATACGTGATAGCCGTGGGATGCCACCGTTTGTACGTAGCATACAAATGTGATCTCACCGGGAAGGTTTTGATGGAATTGTCGTGCTGGTTGCGTTGCCCCGCTTCACAAGATCGAACAAACCGAAAACACAAACCAGACCGCGTCCACAAGTACCTGGACTACCATGCTCACCCAGAAAAGCGCCAGACGCGGCTTAGCAGAGTGGCCGACGGTCGCTGCAGATGGTTGCAAAATTGTCGTTTCGCGTTTGGCAAAATTGGCAAAACGGTGTGTGCTGCATTCTGCTGCCACATCCAGCGACAGTCGAGAGCTCTGATCATGAGAATATCCGTCAGAAAAATAAACAAAACTGCAATCCAATACTGCTGGCCCCGCTCAGCATGTCCAAGTGCGCTTTGTTGTCCAACCCCCCTTCCCCACCAATAGCACTTCCGTAACACGGCGGCCCGCACAGCATGCACAACGATAGATGCCTCCCAACTGCCCCCCAGCACATCGCAACTCCAGCACTGTTACATTACCGTCCCCACTGTTCTCGTCATGTTTGGTACCACGTGCCTAGCTTCACGATTTCGACCCCACTTCCACAACTGAAACTAATCTCGTAAACAGCGTGAAAGCAGTGGTACCTGGCGTATTATTTTCCCCATGTTCTGGAACAGTCTTTCCCTTGCTCCGTGCCCCTTCTCCCACCCTTTAGCAGCGACCCACCTCCCATCTTCTGCACCCATAGTCTGTTATTCTTGTGCACCCGCCCACATTGAGCCGTTTCAACGACTTCAACTTACCCAGCTGTGACAGCCCCACGTCTGTGACCTTGTCGCAACGACTCAGCTCCAGCCGTTTGAGGGCGGCGAACCGCCACATGTAGGCCAGCCCCTCATCTGTTATGTCCCCGCAGTCTGACAGGTCAAGGTGGGTGAGCGACTGGAGGCCGCCAAGCAGCTCTATCCCCGCATCCGTCACCCTGTAGCATCCCTCCAGCTTCAGGCTGCGCAGCGTGGTCAGCAGGCCCACATAGGCCATCCCCAGGTCGGAGATCTTCGTGCAGTGCTTCAGCGCCAGGTGCTCGATAGCCGGCAGGATGCCCATCCTCTGCAACCCGTCATCAGTGACGTTGCAGTTGGACATGGCCAAGTGGGTGAGTGACATCAGGTTTCCTATGTGGGCCAGGCCCTGGTCGGTGATCCCACATCCCCCCGACAGCCTCAGCTGCCTCAGGCTCATGAACTTGCCCACATGGGCCAAACTCACATCTGTGATTCGGTAGACCCTGTGCAGATCAAGTATCTTCAATGCCGTCAGCTCACCCAGCCCCAGGAACCCGTCGTCCGTGAGCGTCCAGTACCCGCACAGGTCCAGGTGAGTGAGCCCGGTCAGGGACCCCACAGGGCTCAGGGCCTCGTTGGGAATGTTGCACCGGAAATCCAGGCGCTTCAAGTGGCGAAACCTTGCCAGGCTCGACACGTCGCCCTCCGTGAGGGACTTCACTCCCTTTCCGATAGTCACCCGCTGCACTGCCGTGAACTTTTGGGCCAGCGTTGCCGCAGTCTGGGAGGCGGGAGGGCCTCCCATGAGGGTGAGGGCAGTGACGGTCTCGGTCACCCATTTGCACCAGTGTCTATTCACTAGCCTGGCCATCTTCAACACGGAGTTCGCAGAGTTGGGTTGCCCCTCTTCTAACTCTGTTTTGACCTTCTCCAGCATTTCGAAGGGCAGGTGGCCCCAGTCCACTACAGGGCTCACATCCTGCGATGCAGCACAGCCTGCGCTTCAGCTCCAGCCAACTAAGCTATGCTTGAGTCATCCATCAGCCAGCAGCATGTCGGACAGCTGCACAGCACGGGCAAATGTAAAGATTGTCTTTGAAACTTGTGGCGATTGCACTGTTGCTAGCTGCTAAAGCAGCCATCCAATTCCACTTGACGATTCCATTGCCATTCAGAAGCGCTGGCCCAATACATGCAAGAATTTGGAGAGTGCAAATGCTGTGTGTCTGACAGCAGGGTCCAGAGATTGTGACCAAGGCAATCAGTGGTTGTTGCACTTCTTCATGATTGTCGCCTCTGCTCACCTGCTCGTCACAAGCTTCCGCAACCCCCATGTTGGCCCAGAGCCAGGTGATGTACCTGCAGCAAAACGGGTCATGTGTGAGGAGGTGCATGGATGTCATGACTAACTGCTGACAGAAAAGGCTCTACACCAACGCTTCAAACTCTTTGCTGCAGCTGCAAGCTCCTTGCCACCTTGGCTTGTGATACAGGGCGCAATAATGACAACTGAACTTCTGTTTTCAGGAAAATGACCGATGTACTGATTGGACGCCGTCGAAAGAGTGGCAATAGTGGCAAGGGCAAAAGTGGCACTCTGAGTTGTTTCAAGTTGCGTTCGAGGATGGGTATTAATCACCGGGGATTCGGCAGCACACTGGAAACTGGCTGCGACAAGCGCACAGGAAACAACCGCAGCTGCAGGTCGCACCATGTCTTCAATCAGGGTACACGCACAGCTGCACCGATGACTTAGCGGCCCAGATTCAAGCACCGACGATTCAGCAGCGCACAGGACAAGTGGCTGCGCAGCGCGTGACAGCAGCGGCCGCGGGGTTCAGTGTCGTTGCGCTCACGACCGCGGGCTGGGCGCGCAGGGGCTGTCCGAACTCCCGAAGAACTCTCAAGAGCGCCACGGCACCGCATCCATCCAGCGCAAAGATGCGGGCCAGCCGCAGGCGCCTAGCAACTTGCGAACATCCGCCACACGAAGCCGAAGGTCGTGCCAGCGGCTGCGGCGGGGACGAGCCCGGTCGGGTGGGGCGACCCAACCCCACGCTCGCGAGCGCGAAGCTTTGAGGATGGCGCCATGAATCACAGCAGGAAGAGGCCGTCGGGGCAGCGAGGGGCGAGGGCCGAGGGGCGAGGGCCAAGGAGCGCCAGGCACCAATGTGGCCATTGCCACCGGCCGAGGGGACATTCCGTCAATTGAGTCTGGGATATTGCAGCCACCCGCCCTCCCCGCGGCTCGCCGGCGCCGATGTCCCCACGCGCGCGGCTCCCCGCCAGATGCATCCGCCCCTGCCAGGCAAGCGCTGCGAGGGGGCCCCCGCGGATTTTGTCCCAATGTCTCTCCTGATGGGTCGCCTGAGCGCGGCGAACCCATGCCCCGGGCGGACCATGCGATCAGATAATCAGGCGACGTGGTCGCACCTGGGCTCAACTGCGGAGGCCGTGCGGGGTTGATGATGCCGCCGGTTGTGAAAGCGGCTGTAGCGGCCGGGGCCTAGTGAAGGGCCGGGGCGGCGGCGGCGCGGAGCGGAGAAGTCGGGGGGGCCAGCCTGGGCGGCTCGCGGGAGGCGGTGCGCCTCACCCGCTCTGTCCTGCGAGGCTCCCGCGCGTGGGCGTGTGCTGCGGCCAAGCGACTGCAGTTAAGTACTGGATGTGTGACGATTCGCCCTTGGGCCCCTCGGCCCGATGTTTGGCGCTGAAACAGGTCGTCAGGGGAATGAGAACGTGACGAGTGGCTTGTGGAGGCGAGGCCCATTGCCTGGAGCGGAAAGGGTCTGTACATTGTACCGTGGGGCTCAGTGCGGGCAGTGTCTTGGGGCTGCTCGCTGTACATATTCACTGTGTCTTGTCGCTATGTACTGAGGGGAATGTGAAGCGGACAGGGACTGCTCATTGCGCTGTGCGCACAGCATGCGCAGCAGTACAGGCACCATTCTTAGACCGCTCGTTGCGCTGTACATTTGCACCATATCTTGTTGCCATGTGCTGAGGGGGATGCGGGGCCGACATGCTGCCCTTGAGTACCCATTCGTCCAAACTGTACGTTGCCCTGAGCGCCCGCTCCTCCAGTTCTGTACTGCTTAGAGAGCGAAGCAATGCCCACAAAGTACTGCTCGCTGCCAAAACCTGCCTGGCCGGGTGCTGGGCTGCGGGGTGCCGACGCCATGCAGTGATGCGCATGTTTCTGCTTGGTCAAACCACCGCGGCACAGCGAAGCGGTGATGGACCCCTCGGCACAATTGACGGCCTTCGCCGTTCCTTCCACAATCGCTTGGCGGGCGGAGAATCTCTCGATTGCCCATTCCAGATCGGCGGGCAGATCCATCCTAAGGATCTTACGGCAGCTCCGGAATCTCGCTATCCTGCTCGCGCCGTGACGGGCGCATCGCGCCTTCGCCAAGATTGGAAACTTGAGAAGGGCGCCAATTTGAATGGATCCGACAGGATTTGGCCAGTACATTTGGCCAGTACATTTGGCCGGTACATTTGGCCGGTACAAGGAACGCTGCGGGCAGGAGCGCCACTGGAGAGGTCGCCAACACTGGTGTTGTCCATTACTGGAGACAAATTGGATTCCGAATGACTTTGCAAGCAACATGTTCATGTTAGCTGGAGTTTTCCGTGTTTTGAATTGTGCAGTATGGATGAGAATCGTGTGCTGGCAGTGCTGCTCGCATTCTTGATTGATTCTTGTCCGGATTGGACGAATCGTTTGGTGTCAGCTCTTTCTGGTGTTGCTTTTTCTCCTTCAAAAGAGAAAGGCATTTTTTCTGCTTTTTTTGGCAGTTCACTTAGGCTGATTTGCCGAAAGGCTGTTTTCGCTTCTCGGAATCCACCCTTCGTGAAACTCGAACGGAAAACATGTCCTTGGTCTGCAAACAGATCAAAAGCGTTTCAAATCAGTTGCGTGTTCAGTACATAGTGTTCTTCACCACACGTTCTAAGCAACATACCCGAATTTGCTCGTTGATCCAACGCTTCGTGGCTTATGGTAAAGTACAGAGGCTCGGTACACCACCCTTCCCATAAGCTCCCACCAATTCCCGTCAGCTCCTATCAGGGCTGGCTGGGGAAAACGAAACAAGATAAATGGAGGCAGTGGGAACCTGTCTATAGGGAATTTGACCGCCAGCTTTGCAGCAAACCCCCGGGGCGACAGCTGCAGAGCTTTCCAGATTGTGGCTCTCCTCCAAGGAGTGCCTTGAGCCCGTTGATTCGTCGGCCCACTTCCGTGGACAATATCTGGATCTAGATATTGACCCAAACCAACGGATCCAAAACTGCCGATGGCCCTCCTGAAAGGAGCAAAGGTGAAAGTCGTCACCACAAAGAATGACAATCGCCGCCGCAGCATCCAAACGCATATTCCTAAACACAACCTCACAGAATAAGCACCACTTCTGTTTGCAGTGCCGTGCACGAGGGTCCCTGATCACAAGGGGCAGGACAGATGATTATCATATGATCGAGCATTGCAATGTCCGTAAAGTGCTCACGCGATGCTGCCCTCCTCACTGGCTCTGGCCTTGGAGCCGCCGCCTGCACTGTTGCGGACGTGGCACATTTGCACTTTCATTTCCTCACTCTTCCGAAGCGCTGTATCCCCAGTTCATACCAGAAATCACTTGCTTCAAGCAGCACCTGGTTTGGCTTGTCTGTAATCTACAGACTTCGCTTGCGTCTAATCGGCAAACGTCCATAATGAATCGCCTATCCCCATAGCACAGCAAACCGCTGGAGATTCTGCGGTGTGTGTCGAATCAGGCTCGCGGGTTTGGGAGGGTCGGTGCTCCAATTGTAAATGGCGAAAGCGTTACGCTTGTAACACGTTTCGCAGCATTGGTACACATTTTCCAGCAACACGGAGCAAATCACAAATGAAATGAATGGAGAAAATTATCAATTGTTTTGCCAGCAACAGCTTGCCAGCCCCAAACACTGGCGCCCATCCGCCATGCGGGCCTCTCCGCGCACTAGCGAACGTGGAGGAAATCTTCTCCCAGATTCAACAGGCGGCAGTCGCCACGTCGAAGGCGCTAAAAAGCGCGGCAGCGCGTTTCCTCCGTATTCAACGTTGACTACGGAATCGCGGCTCGGTGGGAGCTGAAAACACGTGGCTCCGCAGCCAGGCAACCGTGGCCTGAGGGGCACATTCGTCGCACTTTCAACGACACTTTCTTGGCTAAATCATCAAACATCTGGTTGAACTTCGGCGCCGGCATGCCCATCGCCTCTAAGTCGATGTCCACATGTGTACGTGCATACATGTACACGCCCACATTGATATTGGTGCATATAAATTCACCGATGCGTGTCGGGTTCTATGGAAGCTGATCACAATGGCTCGGTTTTCTAAGTGCGTCCCCTTTGACTAGAAATGAACTGCTCCTCTCCACTGTTTGCGTCTCCTGCGTACTCAACAGCGAGCTCGTATCTTATCTGGTGGTATTCCTCGTTTCTGATTCAGAGGCAATGACTAATCGATAGGTTCACGGCAGCGATCCACAACCCCGCCTCACTGCGCACTGAGCAACGATCTCAGCAGTGCCAACCAATGGCGCAACGCTTCCAGCAGCGTTTTTTCAGTCGCAACCCGTCAAAACAGTTGCGCCAATGAGACCTCATTCATGCGCCAATCAGTGGTTGGATTTCAGAAATGGGATGACGCGATTCGATGCATCGACGCAATCGTGACGGACGAGCCCATCAGTTCCCGGGCCCTCCCCAGATGGTAGGTGCAGGATGGTTCGAGCCGAAACCTGTGCCAATTGAGCAAGGAACATGTTCCTTGCCCAAAATTGTCCTTGTCAACAAAGGCGATTTGAAAACGCACTGTCATATGTGATTTTACTGTTGCAACTATAAATGACAGAGTATTATTAACATGTGAACGCATAAAGATGTGACGAAGCGGTGGGAACTGCACTGAGGATCTTGATGAACGGACTGGATATAAGGGGCAGAACTTCTGTTGTACCCTTGCTCGGCCGTAAACGGCTGCCGTGGGCTCGAGCCTACGGTCCCCGTCCAGGGTCCACCACCCCTCGACCCTGCCAGCCTTCATCAGTACAAGCCACGTTTGCCGTGGTCACAGGAACGGTAACCCCAGCTATGATTGCGCACCGTGGCTGCCGCTCGGCAGCAATGCCGGTGAGCACATGTGAGAGTAATGCATGTGATAATGATGCGATGTGACCTGCAGGTCCTGCCCCCCCCCATGCGATTGCCCACTGCGGACACACGCCGCAGGCAAAGACGATAAACAGCCAAAATGGCATCATGCCGTGTCCTTTCTCGCGCGGGCTGCGGAGGGGGGTTGGCTGGTGCCCAGGCGAGGCGCCCCGCCTGAAAGCAGGGCCTCGCAAAAAAGAAAGAGGGAGTCCCGCGGACCCAGGCGGGCGCGGCAACTGCGAAGCGTCGTCAAGGAGGTGCACGCATCGGCGCGTTTTCGCTCCCCGGGGTGGGCATGGAGCGGTGCGGCCCGGCCCGCCGGCTGGCGCCGTGGGCGGTCGTCCTGGTCATGTGGATGGGAGGTGAGCGGATTCATGTGGATGAGGCGAGAGGCGGATTCATGTGGATGGGGCGTGGGCGGTCGCTGGCATGCGAATCAGCGGCGGTGGGATTGGCCCGTGAACGGGGACAATGGGCATGGGTCATGTGGGTCGTCTGGGGATGGTCGATTCTTAGAACAGGGGGATGGTGCGGCTACTGCGGATATTGGATATCGGTTTGCGTCTGCCTGCTCATGGAGGTGTGTTCGTGTGCTCGCGCGTTGTTGAGCCGCGGTGCAGAAAAGCCAAAGGTTGATGAAGCGCGAGGGGACTAGGGGCGCGTGGTGGGTGCATTCTCGGTGCCCCGTTGGCGGGGCGATGGTCATCCAGTCCTTTCGATGACGCTTCCCGGAAGACTGCAATGCGCGCCCATTGCACCGACAGGCGATTGCGGGCAGCGTTGTGTGGAGTTGTGCAAGGATTCCCCGCCCCCGGGGTGCTCAACATCAGCCAAAATGGGCCTGCCCCCGCGCACTGCGAAGCTGTTGCTCAGCCCTTGCGGCTGCAGCCCTGGACGCCATGTCGGGTCTCAAGGAGCCACTGGTAGCCAGGCGCATTAACCAAGAAGTGCTTGGCAAGAGCTACGTGATAGTTTGTGCGCATCCTACACATCGCTTGGATCTTTATCCCAAGGCAGAGTTGTAGCGGGGGATGCTCTGCAGTTGTTCGCAGTTGTACCTCTTGCTGTGTGCTATGACTATGGCCAGGTATTAGAAACCTTCAATGAAGGTCTGGGAAGACATTAGGTCTGCTCCCAGCCTGTATGTGAGTATAGAGAGGTTGGCACCAGCAAGCAATGTCATCAAAGTGGAGGCACATAAAAGAAAATGCAGCATATTGTAGAACTCATCTTCAGGGAAAGCAGGTGTTATACTTACTAATCCGTAGTGCTAATAGCACCAAGCCTTACAGCTCAGCCGTAAGACTTGCAAATGACTTTTGCTAACGTAGCACACTCGCCAACTCAGACAAGTGCTGATTTAATTGCACCATATGTCATCCAGTTTGCCTCAGAGTGTGCCAAGGATCGCTAATTTACCCTCACGAGGGCGAGGCGCCAAAATATTTTGTTGAAGATTTACAACGCTGGCCGCTTGTACTTGCATCGTTGAAGAGAATACGTCCAACATTTGTTGGTGCGCTGTCCATTGTTGCAGTAACCTACGGCCAGCTGCCGCCCCCGTGCGACTGCCCGGATGAGCCGCCACCTGGAGGCCTCTCTTGTGAAGAACAGGTGAAGCACAACCCTATTTGCTTGCCTGTGTCCGAATTGAAATGATACTCCAGGAATCTGTTCTTACAGTTTTTATGGGGAATGCCGTTATTGCATGATCGGCATTCTGGTGGCCAATGAGACTCTTTTGCGCCAATGGTGGTGGTTAGGGGACTTTCGTCACGGCCTTTGATGCCCTGGTCATGAGATAATGCCCATTGCGATGTGTTGCAGCTAATGTACTGTCTAATGTTGCAGCATGAAAGCCTTGTAGGCACGCTAATCTGTGTAGTGCAGTACTTGTCGGGCCCCTGTGCTTTTCCGGTGATGCCAAGCCCGTCTCAACCAATGAACTCTCTTCTGATTATATCCAAGCTGCTTGGCGTCGTCGCAGTTGCCCCCAGAATTGAAGGAAGGTGGCAAATGTCTCACATGTGACAGGGAGCAGTTGCGCAGCAGCAACCACCTGTAGAAAACAGCCTGTTTGCGATGCCAACTGCGATGCCATTTGACACAAATTGATGCCATCACAGGCCCTTTTATGCCATCGCACTCACTGTGACGGCAACAATTTGCATGAAAATGGCATCACGCTGGCATTGCAAACAGGCTGTTTTCTACCAGTGAACATCCTGAAAAAGTTTCCAGGATGTGATCCCCCTGAAACGGCAGAAGCCAAAGATATGCAAAAATCTGTGTGGTGCACCACTCGTGGTGAATGCAAGACGCTGGTTTACCAGCAGCCATCACAAGGATCACAACAATTAGGTCACGTTTCTTGCTCAGTTGGCTCTACATGCACCATGCCTGCAAAGGCGGTGACAGACAAGGATAATATTGACCGATGAATATTAATATCCATTAATGGAGGAAGAGCAGTGGGGATTATCCTTCCTTGGGCGGTACTTGAGTCTCAGCAGATTTGTTATATGATATTTAGGTGTGCATAACTGTCAGCACTAACTATTGTTTCCAGGAAGCCGTTCGCCCATAGATTTGGTGCATGTTTTGAAACACACAGGAATGTGCGCTTCATACTGCAAAGCTTGTAGTGCAGTCCAGCTGCCATTTTCAAAGAGGACAAATTTTCAAGACTGGCCTATAGTGTGGGGGCTGCAGCAATCTGTACATAGTACATAAGTGTTGGGAATTACCTGTTTAAATCAGAGAATATATGCGTCACGTATTGTCCAAAAGAGAAGTCGGGAAAAGCTTGCCAAAAGCAAAAGAGTGAGAGACTCTGATCCTCGAGGGAAGCGAAGCACGCCCGGGCAGTGTCGGCTTCCTTTTTTAACGAGCGCGTGCCAACAGTATGTGCTAATATAGCTGCAATATTTGGTACTTGGCAAGTTGACTTTGCGTCACGCACAAAAGGGAATTAGAAATCTACGTTAGCTGTAGTGGTACCCACTTTGGCAGCATTGACCAGCCTGAGTCCCAAATGCCGCCATGACCGACCACGCAAGGAATGTACAGCAGCTTCGCCCCCACCACAGCCAAAAAGATCCCAAGGAAAAGAGGCAAAATTTGCCAAATTTTGAAATTTGTCCGCATTTGAAACCTCGACCAAATGGAAAATATGGGCCTCGATGCGCCGCAGGCGGGCTTTGGCAAATGTGGCGCAGACTTCATGATCGGCTTCTGCGACCTGACGTGCAAGAGGTGCACGTGCTCCCCCGGCGCCAGGCCCTTCGAGGTGCCCGGAGGCATCGCCAGCGGCCAGACGGTGGGGTCCGTCGTGCGGCCTCCCGGCGCCCCCTCCGACGCAGCGCTGCTGGGCCCGCCGTCGTGCGACGACTGCACGGACGAACCTCCCAACGACGACTACACTTGCGAGGAGCAGGCAAGAAAAAAAGAAAATAAGAAAATGAGAAATACTTCTGTAAGAAATAAGAAAATAAGAAAAAATGTGTTCTGTGAGTTGAAATTCTGAAACTTGACGAGCGGGCGCGCGAATCCTGCAACAGCGGCAGAAAGTTGTGATTGTTGCATGTCCAATAATCTCGATTTGTCTTTTGAAGTTTTGAAACTCCAACGGCGCAAACGCGCTTCCTGGAATGCTGGCGGAAAGCTGTGATTGTTGTAACTGTGGTGCAGCGGCAGCACGAGGGTGTGACTGGATGCCAGCTTGTCGGCCTGGAGTCGCTGCAGATCGATGCATGCAGGGGCGCATGTGTGAATGGAAGCTAGCAGTTCGCAATGGCGTTCGCAATGAAAGGATTCAAGAATGGTGGAAACTCTTTGAACGATGCGTGCCACCGCCCTGGCTCATCATAGTACCCTTTTCATGAGATTTGTCATACAACAACAGGCAGGCTGAAAGAAGACCTTCCAAAGTGCGACTGAGTAGTCTTGAAACTGCACAGAATCCCTGTGCAGCAACTTGAGCGTGGGCTGCCGGAATTTGTAGTAGAATTCAGCCAAGCTCCTTCCTCGAGGGAGGCGCCCATTCAGTCTCGTACGTTTATTACCTGCCAGCGCCGCTGTTGTTGCTTGGCGCGGATGCAACACAACCACGCTAGCAACGGAAAGCGCAACCACGCAAACGGTGCATGTGCATGAGGTGAGCCACAAACCAGAACAGTAGCGCAACGCGGGACGCTGGCGCTGTTTGCTCTGTCGGCCAACCGACAATTACTAGTGAAAAACTGACAAAATACGCGATTTTCAAAATCGTGTAGCGTGTAAGACATCCAAAATCGTGTTAAATCATGTAAAATCGTGTGTTTATTGTATAAAAATGCGACCAAATCGTGTCGTAATAATTGAGTGTGTCCACATGACTTTAACACGTTTTGACACGGTTTTGCGCGATCCTTGCACGGTTCGAAACCGTGTACTTCGGCCGGTACTATACTTGCGAATTGGGTGCGTGGATGATTTCGTTCACCTTGGACTTTGCTGCCTCGTGTCAACAGAAGGACTTCGGCCAATGCGACCAGGACTGGATGCAAGGGTTCTGCGACAAGAGCTGCGAGCGCTGCGTGTGCGCGCCGCCGCCCCCCAGGGTCGTGCAGGCGCCAACGTCGGCGTCGACGCCGGGGCCGCCCTCCCCGGCGTCATTGCCCCCAAGTGAGTGTGCGCCTGCGGCTGCCACTGCCGCTGATTTCTCCTGTTTGATTGGATGACGCTGATAGGCGACACCGCGCCCCCGCCGTGTTGATGCCCCTATCTGCGGACAAGCCAGGAATCATCGCCGTCAAGGCACATGCGTGCGCAGTGCCGCCGGGCATGTCATTCCAACAATGGGGTTGTATGTCCTCCCGGCCGTGGGGGCTACATTCGTGGGTGTAATATAAGCTCAGGCGCTGCACGCCGTTCTCGATGGTTGCATATTCTAACAGCGTGAGAAGACTGCGTGAACTCCCACCAAAACTTCGGTGATGGGGCCTTCCAACATCCTTTTTGAAACCGCACTAACGGCGGGGGGTATCCACTTAACTAGGAACCAAATAACCGTGTTCAAACGTGTACAAAATTTACGGGTTTGGGTTATTTCCATGTTTTTAGAGTGCAGAACACTGATGAAATGCATACATATGTGTTCGCAAAAAGTGTTATTTGGTCCTTTTTTCCCTAGCGCCTACGTCGTATTGCGTGCGAATGCTAACACCTTGGCCTTATCCTTTGTCCTCAGCTCGCGCCTCCGGGGTCACACCGCCTCCAGCAAGGCCGCCTTCCGTTCAGGCTTCGGAGGGCTCGTCGCCGCGGGCAGCCAGCGTCAGCATCCGCCCGCCGACAAAGCAGGCGCCAAAGAACGGCTGCGAGTTTCCGACGCTGGCAGATCGGGCAGGGAAATTCGAATTGCACGTTCTGACCAAGCTCCTGAAGAAGACGGGCCTGCTGAAAAAGCTGGACAACCCGAAGAAGGAGTACACGCTATTTGCGCCCGTGGATCAGGTAGGCAATCGGGCGATCTGGCATACCTGGGGTACACAAGGTGTCAAAGATGCGTATACCTGTACCTGTCGGAGAACAGGTTCTCCACAAATGCCCGATGCCCTTCATTTCGGACGTGAATTCATGAAGTCATGAGGGTCACGGAGATGGCGAAGGTCATTTCGCATTTGGGATGTTTGCGTTGTTAGGTGTTTATGTCCTTAATAGTCTTCATGATCTCGATGGCCCTTTAGGACCTTCATGTCCAGTGATGATAGGTATGGGAAAATCCGCATGTTCTATGGGACACAGACGACTTGGTTGTTCTGTCCACGCTGTCCACTGTCAGTGAATCAAGTATCAAACAAAGCACGTTTTAGGTGCATGATTCTGTGCTTGCGCTCCGCTCATAGAGGCTTCAATCAACGTTGGAAATGTTGGTAGCATTGGATGCGATGACAAAGTCACAAGAAAGCAAAGGAAATTATATTTCTACCGCTCGTGTTGGGGGCCAGGATGGACACGTGGTATTGAAAACACTGAGGCGCAACGCTTACTGCCCCAATCAAGAGCCTTGTGCATTGTGCTACAAGCCGGAAACTGCAAATTACTGCATTTCGTTTGCCTAGAGGAAGCCACATCAATTGCCAATTGCGTAATACACTGCTTACTGGAGTGCAAAACAAATATCCTCTAGTTCGGAGGCGATTCTCGACGGGCCCAATATCACACTAGCACCCACTAATTTTACAAGAAAAATGTGCCCACATCGCCACAATTTGGGAATACGGTTGTGTGGCAGGCCAACGTTGCAGCGGCACCCTTCTTAGGACGGATGTTTCTTCACATGCAACGGGCTACGGTGGGCTGTTTACGTCTGTTTTTATCGTTGCACATCATCACACGCATGTGTCGTCGCCACACAATATGCACGTGCCGAACATATGGCTGAATGCACTCAAGTGTCCAGCAATTGGTGCCATGGATCAGGCGTTTGAAGAGCTTGCGTCGAAGCTCAAAGTGGACACCGACGATCTTGCGGATCTGGACGTCATAAAGGGGGTTCTGGAGTATCACATCGTGAAGTCGATTCTGTCCACTGCAGAGCTCAGCCAGCCGCGCATCCTAGACACACTGGAGGGTTCCTACATATTCACCCAATCTGAGGTACGATTCTCTTGCGAGATCAAAGGTCGGTGGAATGTGATTCTACAAGTTGTCCCAGTATTGCATGAAGTACATCGTATGGCCTGTTGTAGCGTCGGCTGAGAGCCAGCACAATGCAGATGGAATATTCTGTGGTTTGGTTCTCGCGACGGTGTTGTAATGGAGACAGTCATTAAATTGGATATTGCTGTGAGCTGCATAAGTGGAGAAGCACTCACCAATTTGTCGCGATTCTGCAACATAAGCACAGGAAGATTAAGGTGGACCAGTAGGCCTTTGTTACCAGTATCTGCGCACACAAATGGGTGCTGCATGCGCACAATCTTGATCGTAATTTCTCGGAGAATGGCGGAAATGGAAAATTGGGAATCAGACAGGGAGGGAACGAAACAGGATAGTGATATTGATTCAAGTACTGCCTCTGAGATCTACTCGCTTCCGGATGGCGTGACCCTGGACAAGAAGCGCGCTGTCCTTATGTGTAATAAGCAATGTGAATCTCAACAATCATGGCAGAGAAAAAGCCATGATTATTCATGACCAACTGTTCATCAGTGAAAATATTGCATCGTCACAATCAATGCAATTGCCATCACAAACACAATCTTTGGAACGCGAACAAACATTTCTCGGATCCTTCTTTTTCTGTCTTTGCCTGAAAATTTCTGAGGCCCTCAAGTCGGAAGGGCTTTTGCTATTATTCCTTAATCCGAATTCCGTCCATATATTTCGAAATCTCAAATAATTTTCCTCTGGTATGTGCCTGTGGAGTTGTAAAAAATCGAATTCAGTCAGCCGCAATGAGAGATACCTAGCTCAGTAGACGAATGAAGTATCGATATCTGAGTATCCCCCCTGCCCCCCAACCCCCCACCCATCCACCCACCACAGACAGCCCGAAATTCGACTGAACCAGGTGTGCGGGTTTTAGCGCAATATGTAGACATAATTGACCTGCAGCTCGACCTCTCCGTGCCTAATCACTGGCCCGCTGGGCGCATCGCCGTCACTGGCCTGAGAGAAACACCTCAGAAGCGCGCCTCCGCTATTTTGCCACCTCTAACGCGTGTGCCCTGCCGCCCAGTCCGAGATCGACGGCTTCGAGAACTCGGCCACCATCTTCAGCGCCCCCACGCCCATCTGCAGCTCCATGATGCACGTCATCAACGACGTCCTGCTGCCCGCGACCATCGACGACCTGCTGGCGGGCAGGACGGATCCCCAGAGTCCGGAAGAGCCCGTGTCCCCAACCCCCGCCCAGAAGCCTCCCAAGTCACCTTCCGAGACCCCTGCCGAATCTTCCCCCGAGACGCCTCTAGATTCAGAACCCAAATTGCCTACAAAATCGCCTCCCAAGTCGCCTCCCAAGTCGCCACCCACATCGCCTCCAGGCGATCCTTCGAATTCCACAGACGGACTGCCCAAGGCGCCCGCTGAATTGCCTTCCAAGCCTCCTGCCAAATCGCCTGCCAACTCAACTACACAGGCTCCCTCGGGAGCACCTGGAGACACTCCTGATGATCCTCCTCGGCCGCCTCCAAAGAGCCCCTCGACGCCGCCCGAAGACCCGCCTGAGGCGCCTCCCAAGGTGCCTGCCCCATCTCCTCCCAGCGCCCCTGAGGCGCCCCCCAAGCCGCCGGGCGGGGGGCCTGCCAAGCCCGAGGCCCAGGCGCCTTCGAAAGGAAAGAAGTGCGACAAGAAGGGCAGCATTGTGTCGTTCTTGTCGGACGAGGAAGATTTCACGATACTAGTGAGGTAACACGGGGCGACGCATTTGGGTCTGTAGGCGAGACAGCGCATGTCCTTGGTTTGAGCGCACAGAACTTTGTGTGGAATCTTTCATTCACAGTGCACTGAACAGCACGACTTCCTGAGTCTTGGTTCCTCTCGGCTCTGCCACAGTGGAAGAATCCCCAATCAGCAGTCAGCATTCTCCTTGATTGTGTAGCCGAAAATTTCAGTTTGGGATGAAACGATGAAGTACGGTCACTTGGTGAGCAATTTTCATCATGCATGATGTCAACTGCAGGACCACATGCACAAACAGTCTCTTTGTTTTGATCCTGGTGTCGTCCTGGCTGGTCGTATGCCGTGTCGCGACATCTCGGATGCTGATTGCGGTGTCGCTTTCCTCAGGGCGCTGGAGGCTGTCGGCATGTCCAAAATGCTTTCCGACAAATCTGCAAATCTCACCCTCTTCGCTCCCAGCGACGTGGCGTTCGAAGCGACCCTGACCAAACTGGGCGTCAAGCTCAAAGATCTGCTGGCCAACAGGCAAGAACAAAATACAGGCAAACACGCCATCGACGCTGCCGTGCACCAGCGCATACAAAGAGAGCGTGCCCAGTTGGCGGCTGTCTCATGTGAAGAAACTGGCAGGAATCAGTGCTTTCACGGACCAGCGACATGACCAATGCGTTACGGTACCCCATTTGGAAATGCGCCCTCACGAAATCGTGCAGGACGGCCTCCTGCGGTCGCACTCATTGCAGTCGGCACTCATCGCTACCCCCGCGTTGCCGCCCGTGTCCGCAAGAGGAACGGATCAACAATGGGCAAAACACGCGCCCACAGCGAGTACCGCACCGTCGCAAATCTGCCCTTTCTCGTCCATAATCGCCGCCCTGCAATACGGTACAGGGGTGCAATTCCCCTTTACAAAATTTCTCTTTTCAAATTCTCGGTGCAGGGATCAGCTGCAGGACATCCTGCGGTACCACGTCCTCCCGCAAAAGCTCACCGCCGCCGCCATTGCCGGCGGCAATGTGGACACGGCGCTGCCGGACGCCAAGATGTTCCTGGACGTGGACGACGCCACGGGCGCCATTAGCATATCGGGCGTCGGTTCCAGCGCCAGGGTGGTGGGCCCCGACCTTCACAGCCTCTGCAACAGCGCCGTCCACAGGGTCGACTTCGTGCTTCTGCCCTTCAAGAGCGACCAATACAGTAAGAGTGGGGGTGCAAGCGAGCGATTTTGCTCGGCGCATGTTTGCTCTGAACGGCCCTTTTGGGCGAGTGGGTGGAAGAATCGACACGCTGCACTACGCCCACAGAAAAGAGACCCTCTTCTGGCAAAAACTAGCATAAGATTCGGTGGCATATAGATTTGTGCCCATTGTTCTTGAAAGAGTGTTAGAATATGTGTATACTGCACATTTTTCGTACATTAACATTGGTTACATGTATATGTGTCATTTGCAGCTACACGGGCTCCAGATAATACTACATAGTATACGCTAATGTTACAAGCGTCTACACCGCACGAGAGACGTTGAGTGCTACGTGGTATAAGCTACAGCGCATGACAATATTGCGTAACAAATGACAGCGTGATAGTTTTCTACACTCCTCAAGTGGCGTTGAAGGCATTTTGCCCGCCATGTCCCTGGTCTTGTCATGCGGCCCCGCCCACCCCGCCCTCCAGGCCCCTGAGTGCACGTTTCTTGCTTCCTGCGTTGCTTGCGCTGTGTGCTCATCATTTCGAATCGGGAACTCTGCCTAATCTTGCCACAGCATGGAAAGGAGCCTGGCATGCACCACTGGTAGAAAACAGCCTGTTTGCGATGCCAACTGCGATGCCATTTTGACACAAATTGATGCCATCACAGTGAATGCGATGGCATAAAAGGGGCCGTGATGGCATCAATTTGTGTCAAAATGGTGTCGCAGTGGGCATCGCAAACAGGCTGTTTTCTACTGGTGCACTTGCTTAGGCGAGGTGCCCTTTGCACGACCTGTTCCATCAAAGAAGCAGGCCATGCAGAGGGCAGCCCCTCCTAAGCAAGTGCACGCGAACGCGATGCATGTGCCTGCAAATGTGATGCCCGTGCGTACAAAGAGAGGAAATTCTCTCTTTGTAAGACAAATCTTACCAGCCCCCCTGTGGCCGAACACAAAATGGGCCTGATCTCGACAAACGCCTCGTTGGCGCATGCGGTATGTCACCGCAGCCTGCAGCTGCGACAAAGCGGGTGGCGCACAAGGGCATGGACGGGGCAACTCCGTGGAGTGCATGATAGCGGGCAAAGAAGCATCGCCACATCCCAGCTGTTCTGTTGCCGCAGGGGCTGCACCGGAAGGGGGCCAAGAGGACCAGGACGAGCCAGCTCCCGAGGCGGGCTGGGCGGCATTGGGGCCCGAGCTGGCCAAGGGCGAGTCGGAGTGCCCCAGCATGCATGACGTAATCGTCAAGCACAAGCGGCTGGGCACCCTGGAGAAGGCGGCCGAGGCTGCGGGCCTGGTGCCCGTGCTGTCGGACGGGGAGCAGAATGTGACCTTCCTGGCGCCCACGGACGAGGCGTTCGAGAGGCTGATGGCGGACGCCCAGCAGTCGGCGGACTCGTTCCTTGAGGACCCGGTGCTGGTGAAGCCCATCCTGAGCTACCACGCGCTGGCGCGGGCGCTCAGCCTGGAGGACATCCGGGGCGAGGACAGCCTGGACACGCTGGTCACGGACGAGCAGGCGAGTTGGGGCCGGCCGGGCCCAAGGACTCGCCGATTTGACAATTCGATTATCGTTAACTACTTTCTTTCCCAAAGATCTGACCCGTATTTGTATGCCTTGGCCTCCTCAAGCCGCAGCCGGGACAGCAGTATTTGGCCTGGGGTGCACAACATCCAAACGCTGCTTCTGCCATTTGAGCAGAACCACCTCAGTGCCAATTGGACCGCCACCGCCACTACGCATTGTGAATCGAGCGCTGGGTGGCTTCGCAGCTGATTGAACTGGGGAAGCCCGCCCCTCACAGCTTGTGTTAGTTTCCGGACCCCATGGCCCGATTTGCTGGGAACTGGCGTGGGTGCACTTGCTCTTGATGGCTACAGTGGGTGCATCACGCTGGCGCAGACTTGCCCGCATTGCACAATTCTGACCATGCTTAGTACGCGTGTAGAGCCTGACTGCCCAGCATTTGCCTGAATTGTATTAAAATGGACCCAACTAGTGGAATCTCATCCGCTTCTTTGTCGCAATTTCCAGCATTTTGTCGAACTTTGATACCATTTTTCACCGGCGTTATGGGCCAACTGATTCCGCTCGGGTGCGTGTGCTCGACCAGGGAGAAAACCTTGCTGTCCGGGTGGTCCTGGATCCGGACGACCCCAACGGCGTCGTCATCCAGGGAGTCACGGGAACGGCCAGCATCACGGAGGCGGACATTCCCGCCTGCGGCTCCATCGTGCACATAATCGACACGGTGCTCCTGCCCATCGATTCCAACCTGCTGTAGTCCGCCCCCGCCGCGCACAACCCCAGGCGTGGGGGGTGCACCGCAGAATGATGACCTCAAGAACTGCATCAAGAAAAAAACGTGATTCAGTGGCGTAACAATGCGTGACGGTTTAGAAAGCAACGTTTGGCCCGGCTTGGTGCATTGATGGCAAGTGATTTTTGGGGTCATTTGGCGTTGTTTGGACGTAGACGGCGTTGTGTGGGATGGGGTTGTTTCTGCCAGTGCTGGGCGGCATGGCGCGGCTGGGCACTCGCGAGTAGCAGACCGAAGAAGAGGACACGAAGGAGGGACGAGCGTGGAGCGTCGAAGGTGGGAACTGCGTGCAAAGAGGCAGGTGTTCGAGGCAGCGCTGCCTGCTGTAGAGTACAGTGTGTCAGAGACAGGGGGCACCGGAGGGAATAACTAGATCCCATGTGGCCATGGGGTGGGGCTTGATCAGACGTAGTTAGGGTGTATTTGAATTGCCTGCCATGCAAGGCGGATTTCTCGGAAGCAACACGAGTGTAGTGCACTGGTTGCATGGGTGCGCTCACAGCAAGCGTAGACAGTATCGCACATGATTGTATGAAACATCGTGGAGGGGGTGAACCCCTGTCTTGCATGAACAGCCCCTGCACGCTGCACTGTCTGCCTCACGAAATTTCTTCTTCCTCTCCAGGAACAAGGGAATCGAGTCCTCAAGATCGCAAAGTTGGATGCCAATCTCTGACATCATAATGCACAATGTCTGTTCCGCCGTGTCAGTGCTGAAACTCGTTGCCTTGGCTTGCACAATTCATTAACACAAGGAGCTGCATGCATTCCTTGCTGTGCAACCGTGTGCAGCTTCACAACTCGTTTCTTGTGGGCTGTGCAATTCTTACTCCCAGGTTACAATCCATGGATACAAACGCAGTCTGAGACACAGCACATCTGACCAAAGCAGCATCCTGCATCAGCACCGCTTGTCCATTGTTCTTCCATTGATGAAGATTTCTGGGATGCCAACAAACCTTCTACTTGCCTGCATCAGCTCTTCCAGCTCCAAACGTTCCCAAGACTGCATTCAGTCACGCTCCAAGCCACTATCCCGTGACTATGATGCAATCCAACTGACATCTCCTGAAACCCCTTGTCCAAAGAGGCCTGGGGCATCTTTGCCAGCAACTGCGGAGGTCACAAGTGCCCATCACAATCTCGCAGGTCCAAGGGCCTCAATTTCCATGGCATGAATATGTTCAAGCACGCTGCAGCATCAATGCCATTGGTGAAACGCTCTAGCGCTCATGCCTGAGGGAACATTCCATCAGAACACTGAAAATAAACGACTCAGGCACCCAGGTTGCATATCCATCCAAACAGACCACCACCACGCTCCATCCAGCCTAATTGCAATTTGTGGGGTGAAAGCCGCTACGGGCCCGCATGCCTGGTGTCCACCAGCATCTTGTCCACCACCACCTGCTTTTGGTGGCGAAAAGGAGGAGATTGACCCAGGAATGGGAGGCTATGAAACGAGCTGGGAAAGGAGCGGATGGCTTTGATGCTGTGCATGTCAAACACAATCATGGCAGCCTGGAGCAGTGGGTGGGCAGTGAAAACCACCAGACGGGACAGGGGCAATCATACCGATCCTGCTGCCATCTGTCCCCCTGTCCTCCATTCAAGCAGCCACGTTGCTCCTGACCAGTGCTGTGACCTCTGTTCTTGGAACACCATTCAGCTGGAAACTCGATCGATGCCTCTTCCCAGATTCTGCCACTCTTCCCAAGCACTAAAAGGTCATAGCAAACTGCCAGAAACAGTGACAGATGACCTGGATTCGGCGAGCACATGGCCATCAGCCGTACATCATTCGTTATATTGCTGCGAATGAACACATTCCAGATTCAGACACTCCCGAATTCGCCCTTCCAGGACTCGTGCTTGGCGATGTCGGCTTTTGAAACGCTTGAGGAGATCCGAGCCAAGGCCTCCACAAGGTCGTCCATCAGGACGGGTGTGTGCACTGCATCAGCCTGCATGTTGCGTATCTGCTCGAGGGACATGCCGGCTGTGCGGCGGCGCATGCCATTGAAGGCTGCGTCACGGCACACATTGGTGATGTCATCGCCACTGTAGCCCTCCATTTGCCGTGCCAACTCGTCCCAGTCCACGTCTTCAGCAACATCAACATCCTGGGCAACAGCAACCGATTGGCAACATCATCCTGCTGAAACCTGGTGGTTTGGCAGTTTGACTGCCCAAACTGTGGAATCATCCAAATATACAGTATCAAATGGATGACAGCTTCCAGCAAGAAGATTACAGCACCAGTATTGAGTTCAGAAGAAGGGGCAACCCGCTGTAGATTCTTCAAAAAAAGTGGGACACACACTGGCAGAAAAATCACTTCCAGGCTATCAACATCTCTTCCCCTCCCCTTTGCTGTTACAGCCATGGGAGGGACTGTAGTACAGTGCATTGAGCTCAATACAACAGTGAACCATGGGCACACCGACACTGGCTTGACAAGGGGAACTCCGGACTCATTCCTGCTATTCTGCCTTTGTTGGTTCTGCAGCAACACGGTTCAGGTTTCAGAGGAACCTGTGGCTCCTATTGCAAATGCCTAAAGAACCTGAACGAAAAAGCACACGCCTTCCAGCAACAATGAATCATAGCACACCAAACTACTGGACACACGAATGGTCCCTTCTGACCTTTTCGACTTGGATTTCTCACAACAATTTCTTTGCAGTTTTCCTTTTCCTTCATTGAGACTGTTGCGTGACTTCCTCCATGTGTGCTCTTCTGAGCACACAGGGCACCAGTGCTTTCCAAATCTCCCTTGTTTGCCATGTAATGCTTGAACAGACAATGATGCGCTACAAGTTCACAAAACCACCAGCACACAGTCGCTGGCACCTATTTCACAGTGATGTTACCTCTTTTATCCTTCCATGCATCAACTACTGGACATTTCCAAGCATCCACCCACCTTGAAGCTGATATGCATGAGATCTCTTCGTGCACCCAGTTCAGGCAGGGGAATGTAGATTCGCTTCTCCAGACGCCGCCTTAGTGCCTCATCGATGTCCCACGGAAAATTCGTGGCTGCAAGAACCATCACATGTTGCCCAGGTTCCACATTGTGACCAAAGCAGCCATCGATCTGTGAAACAAATCGATGAATAGGAAATCAACTTAGATGGCAGTCCAAAAGATACAGAGCACCATGCCAATACCAACCATCCATACCCACAGCAGCTGGTCTGCATGTGAGAGTCGCACAAGTACAGGGAACAAATAGTGTAGGTGCAAGCGACAACTATCATGGTGCTCAACATGTAGTCCTGTGTGTGGCCTTTTGCCCACGAACGCATTTCAAACAGCACTGTACCAAACACAATTCTGTCTCGACCACACAAGTTCTGTGTTGAACTGCAACAGAAGTGATTATCCTTGGTGTCATCCAAAAGCCAAGCTGCATGCAGCCATGACAAACTCTTGCACACAGGACCAGCCGTGTCCCACACTGGGTGTCACTAGTGTAATGGTGAATGGGCACAGATAGTCTATTCTGTCGAAGAGTGCTTTAAGCAGGGAAGCAAAACAGGATACACCCTGTACAAAGCGCATTCAACCCCACCCCTCAGGACAAGCTTTTCGCCCAATCATCAGTGCTCTATGTTCATGTTTTAATCTGACTCACCAACAGGCCCACACACTCTGTTCAGGAAAAATAGCAGCAAACGCTAGAAATATGCCAGAAATGCTAGAAATAGCAACAAATGCATTCCTCAGGAGCGGGCATCCATGCTGCAATGTGGCTTTCCAATCTGTGACAGTCATGGTGTCCCAACCCACCATGAGTGTGTGTTTTCAAGCCATCTCTGCTGACCTACTCCCCTCCTATGTTACACCTGGCGGCTTCTACTTGTGGTGCAAAATCCGCCACAAAATTTGCTCGGCATGAGGTCAGTCCTCACCTGCATCAGGAGCTCTGACTTGACGCGTCGACTTGCTTCATGCTCACCAGTAGCGCCCCGCGACGTGCACAGCGAATCGATCTCGTCAATGAAGATGATGCTCGGCGCATATGCTCTCGCCATGTCGAACAGGCAACGCACCATTCGCTCCGACTCCCCACGATACTTTGATGCCAGGGTGGCTGAAGACACGTTGAAGAAGGACACGTGGGCCTCCGTGGCGACTGCCTTGGCAAGCAGTGTTTTGCCGGTCCCCGGGGGCCCAAACATGAGCACACCCTGCACCAGCAGGCAGCTACATGAAGCCACAGGCTCGGGCATTTTCCAAATCCACGTCTTTGCAGTTCCAATCCACATTTTCTCAGTTCAACAATGCCCATTGCATGTCGATTCTGTTTGTATTCTATTCCATTTGCTTCCACAAAGGACTTGGACACATAGGCGACAAATTATACTGTGTGTATACATGCAGGCTGTCATAAACAATACACCGCAATAACTTCATGCCCATTCAGGCAACCTGGCAACTTCAGGCAATGCAGTAGCATTGTCGACATTCCAAGCAGTGTATTTGCGGTGAATTCTGGTAAGCATTAGCAGCAATTTCAGACCACAGTTCTTCATGTTGCAATATAATAATGGACAAAAAAGAGCAGGCGTCACACCCCAAGACAAATGCCAGAAGATTGGCTCCATACACACATATGACAATCTCAAGCTGCCGATCAGCAGAAAATGCATGATCGCACTCTGCACAGCACACTGACTTATGAACGAACTGGGGATAAATAGTTTCTAAAGTAGTTTCCGAATATACCCATCATTGTCTGCAGAAAGCAAGGGTAGTGTGTGCCACTGCATTCTGGCAATTGCGATATGCGGCAGTCAATGGCTGCCAACCCCAGTGCTTTGCTCAGGTCTTCTGCCCATCAAGGGGCACTTGCAGTGCATACAAAATTGCCTATGGTGCAGAAACCGAAATAGTATCCATAACCAGGATACCTGCAATCCTCAGGTATCCTCTGCTGTGTATAATCAAGGATTTGCGCACAGCCACCTCAATCACAAGGCCTGTTTACCTGCACTAAAAGTGGGACTTAATACATAAAGTCTGCAAATGCCACTTGAAACAGCGTACGCTTTCATACAGCCATCCTGTGTGGCAACCTGGACTGGCATGTAACAGAGTCTACAATTGTGTGACACGTCTGCAAGGAACGTGAATATGCAGAGCCGATCTGATCTCTATATGCACTGTAGAGTTTTGGGGCTGCATGTGTCTGAGCACCATTTCTGTGTTTGATGCTTTGCTGTGGCCAAGCGTGGACCATGCGATGGCTGAATGCAGAGCATGAGAAACAAGTGGTTTGCTAAGCTCACCCTGACAGGACGTCTGATGCCTTTGAAGAAGTCGGGCATTATCAGCGGCAGCACCGTTGCCTCCTCCAGCACCCGCTTCGCTTCATGCAGGCCTGCGATCTCCCCCCACCTGAGGGAAGCACAGAAACAGGCACTTGTCAGAACATCCCATTCACCAACTCCGATGCAGCCAGAAGCATCAACTTTAGCAAAGCCCCCATCCAACCAAACCAGCAAATAATACAGCTCGAGATACACAGGGTCCATGGGCACAATCGCTATCTCTCTTAAGAGAGAGTAGTAAGCTTACTGCCATTCTGTTGTAAAAGTAAGACATCATTCAAAGGACCTTTTATACAATGCACTGAAATTGAGCAACAAGTGTGGGCCGTGATGTGTGTTTGTTTGTGCAGTTCTCTGTGCACATTCTTCAGTGTGCATGGCTGTATTGGCACAGGGTGGGTGTGTGGGTGGGTGGGGGGCCAGCACTAGCTTCCCAAACTCCAATGCTCGCAATGCATCCAAAAGTTGAAGTGCTTGGATTTGTTTGTGCAGTTCTCTGTGCACATTCTTCAGTGTGCATGGCTGTATTGGCACACAGGGAGTGTGTGTGTGTGGGTGGGGGGCCAGCACTAGCTTGCCAAACTCCAATGCTCGCAATGCGTACAAAAGGTAAAGTGCTTGGATGCTCTGCCATTGATGTGCTTTGACACTTATGTCTGGCACTCTGGTTGGATGCTCACTGCCTCCTGTTGACTGGCATTGCCAACTACTGACTTTGACATAGTCGCACGATCTTTTCGACAATGCCTGGCTGCTTGCTTGGCTGCAGACAGCATGGCAGCTGTGACTTTGCACAACAACCATTCTTACCAGACCATCGCTGCACACGTCAAACTTTGCTCACACCACCGTGCCTTGGGATAGAGCTATCAGTCAATTTATGGGAACCTTGCGCAACGATGCCAGCCTGACATCGTCCAAAGCTGTGCTGCACCTAATGTAGAGTGGGGAAGCAATAGGATAGCACAGCATAACTATGCAAGTGTGCAAGAATACAGGATTGGGAAAAGGAAAAGTAAGAAAGGATACCTTGGAGCCAGAGGCAACCACACATGAGACCATCCAGGCTCACAGATGCAGCATTTCATCAATTCTGGAGACTGGCGCTTCTTCATTGTGTCTGGTGGGACCAACATGGCACAACAGTTCAAGAACAGTGCTTCGTCATGGCTTGTGACTTTCAACAAACTCTTATCCACATGTATACACTCACGTGACACCAGGGCTTGTGTCCAGGATGTCTCGCTTCAACAGAGCCACCAGATCTTCATCTGGGCCTTCATACTCCTGCTGATTGTCCACAGCAATGCAAAGAATCAGACCATCAGCGATGAACACAAGCAAATCATACAATGAATCGATGGATGTCACAATCCTGCACAACTGATGAGCAAATGACTGCAATCAGCTTGGAAGTTTTCTTTGGAAGGCAGTTACAAAACCAGGTCACATCGGATTCATCCTTTGACATTCCCATGACTGCAGGCCAGCCTGCAGGAAACAGCGTGTTCCTATGTGCAGTGCTTTATGTAGAATGACGCTCAGTCAATGGTGCTGACGTTGAGTTGCACAGGTTTTGAAGACCACCACACATTGGCTTCTCCCTTTGGCAACAAAAACACAAACCGATGGATTGCTTCCATGTTGCTGCAGAGGTACCGATGGATGTACATGTTGGATGCGAAGTTGGACAATGAATATAAGTGTTGGTATAAGATTCCATAACAACATTGGGCAATTGAGCAACACTTGCCTTCTTCAACAAATGCAATTGAATGGCAATTTTGCTACGCACCACGTATCCCCTGAGGGCATGCTCACCTGACCAGGGGTATCTCTTCGGCCATCTCTCCCTCGCCGTGTATCAACCTGCAGGTGAACAACGTGCACAGTTGAGCACCAGCACGCTGAACAACAACTGGACTGACCACAAGAACACCAGACTATGAACAAAACAAGAGCACAAGCTGATCGCAAGCTGAAAAGTAGTGTGCACAACCTGAAGATGCTGGCTCTCATGGACTTGACTGACAGCAGGAGCAACAGTCATTACAGGAGAATTGTATGGCAACTCCCAGACCGGGATTTCAAATTAACAGGTCCTTTCGCTGACTGCTTAAAATGCGCATCACCAATGCTCGTCCTTCCTCTCAACACGTGCCAATATCACTGGTATTTTCTTGGCCTATTCGCACAGTTGAAGTCAATGACCTTTTGCAAACAGTGACTATAGTACCAAAACACTCAATCAAACAAAGTCAAGAATCTACACGCTCCGAAAACCTTTGCTACTGAACAGGAATAGTGTACCACCACCGATGCCAACTTCATCTGTGTGCACCTTTTGTGACAGGTGAATGGATAAACAGAACAGAGGAAGCATCCCAAACTTGGGAAACAGATGTGCACATAATTGCCTTCAAATTGAAAACACCGTGTTCTGGCCTGAGAAGCAAGTGCAATACAGGTTCACCATAGGGACAGCAAAACAGTTCAACCCCCCAGTCAGATGTCAGTTGGTTGGAGACATGTCCACTGTGCACACTGGCAACTGCCTGGCATCCCCCATGGGGCAAAATGAACTTCATGTGGAAGCTGTATGGCCATTCCTAACCTGACAGCTCATCACTAGCTTGCGTTCAGTTTCGGAGGACATTAGCTGTCAAAGACATTCAGCAAAACAATACAGCACTGATACGATGCCACTGAAAGGGCATACCATGTATACCCAGTATACCCAGTATAACAGTATACCAGTGTATACCCAGTATAAGTAGACAAGAACCCCAAATGAAGCAATGAATAGTAAGACTTGGTCATGGATACTAATAACATGGTTTGGACCCCTTCATCCAAGCAGTGCGTAAAAAAGTTCAAAAAACTAGGCCAAGAAAAATGCAAAAGTGGGGTAGAGCTAGCAAAATGTGCTGGACAGGCAACAAGTGCCAGCCATCAAAACAACGGCAGACAGGGCAGCAAGGGCCAGTGCAAACAACCATGCACAAACGCAGCCGCGGGTCTTTGCCTCTCATCTTCTATTCTCCAAGTGCAACAATGGCCAGCAGTTGTTTCCTCATCCACACACTCTTTCCCTTCATCCCAGCGATGCCTTGCATCCAGCATGGCTCCACAATCAATATGCACATCACAAATCTACCCACCTGCACCCCTACCCACCAGCCTTCGGCTGCTTAACAATCGAACAGCCGCCTTCAGCATCGATCTGAGTAGAACAAAATGCAAGGCGTGCCGCCTTCGAGCGCAGGTGACATCGGCACTATAGATTCAAACCCAGTGCAATAATGGGTCCTCCACAACTTGAGAGTGCTGCAACTGGCTTGGTCTTTGTAAGACAAACTCCAATGATCCCCAACTAGCTGTGGTTGGTGTGTATTTACAGCAGGTCACGGGCACGGATACTAAAATCGTTTGAATCCCTGAGATGGGGTGCATACCAACAGGGGGTGGATGCTAATCCCAGGCAATCAGGAGGTATGAAACATTGCACACCATCTTTGAAATATTTTGCAATGTTTTGAGAACAAAATCATTTGGATTCAACCACATCACAAGCACAGGTTGATCCCCCCACCCACCTTTGGCTGAACACCCTTGTGCCCTGTTGAGTTTGCTCTGCGAAGTCTTCCCATCGGCAAACCAGAGTTTGATGAATTGACAGGCACCACCGTGCTCTGGAGAGCAACAAATTTCACAAACTTCATAATTCTGTTGTGTGTTGAATGTTGTTTAACAAGGCATCACTGTTGGCCTAAACCCAAGGTGGGGTGTGGAAACACGACTGGATATGTGCAGCTGTCCTCATCCAGCTTCGATAATGAATCCATTCACACCGTTCGCTGCGAATCCATTCAAAAGCAAAAATGGGAAAACCATGTGCAAGGAATATGAGGCAAGCATCTGCAGAGGATTTGCTGTTGCCTATGGGTGTCTTTGTGGGCTGGAGACATAGGATCAGAGAATGTTACAAACACAAAATAACAGGCAAGCAATTCTCTATTCCCATCCCCCATGCTACTATGCTTGGTACATGATGAGGCAACTCTTGCCCCTTCAAGCCAAGGCATTCAGAGTGGAACTACACTGCAAGGTTCGTGCACATTCGTGCCCAACAAAATCGCTGTCTCTTGAGTAGGACCACAATTAGGACATTGGCACAAAGCGTCTTGCATGGCAGTTGTCATGGCCAAGGCAGTAAAGGCAATAGTGTGCAGGTGCTCGCAGCTGTTCAGTGGTGCTTGCAGTGAAGGAATCCAACACTCACTAACAATATGCTCATAATCACCTGCCATGCAAACGGGAGGTGCTTTGGAAAATGAGACAAGCACAAGCACTGCAAAATTGTGCTTATCACACATTGGTTCATGTCAGGCCAACAATTTCAGTTCTGATTGGCACTCACAGCTTTTGGTTTTGTCCTGGATGGAATGGCTCTTTGAGGTGGGGGTGGCTGCCACACATCGGGATCCATCGCCTGAACATCCTCTCCTCGCAAGTCCCCTCTATGAGCATCCCCAACCACAGGTTCGCTTGCTCGACGTTCAATTCCCCTGGGGGTGTGCGTCTGCACAGACAGCAGGACATGAGGCCATGCCATTATCTTCCCGGTTCCATTACACTGCTTCACTCTTAAGAATCCATCTGATACCCCCCTCCCAGCAGAACAGATGTGGCCCTTGCCCCATCTCACAAGAAAGACCAAGCACTGCGCAGCTCCATATATTTGATCGCAGGAAAACTGAAGATGCAATGTCAAGGGCAAGTCATGCACAACTGTTGCATTCTGTGGGAGCAGGCAGCTTGCACACAGATAAACGTGGAACAAACAGTTTGATGTGCAAGTGTCCATCATAGCCTGCAAGCCACAAGGAACCTCTCCTGTTCTTTGAAGTTCCATGCAATGCAACGGAACGCAGCAAGGCCAAGCAAAGTGCCTGGTGCAATGTCAACATGGGCAAGTATCAAATTCTCCCCCATCGTGCGAATGAACATATGCAGCCTCCAGAACATGCTGGTGTTCAGGTGTTGAGGGGATTGTGATGTGGCACACAGCGCCCCAGTTCAGGAATAACTTGCTAGATTTTGTACTTTACTTAGCATAGTGTCAGCATTTGCAGGATCTCTGCCTGGAGAGAGGGCCAGAAGAGTAGGAGCAGATGTCAGTGAGCGGCAGACTGTTTCTGGTAAATCGAGTCAAAGCTTGCATTGAAATATTGTTGCTCGACACCAAGTGGCTGTCCATGAGCTCCAACTGAAGTGAGCTGGGCACAATGAGCACATGCCATTTGTACTTGGAAGCAGCATCGTCTTAATGGTCTTCAAGCGCGATGCAGCGCACTCCTATTTACAGCTCTCAATGACAGCACTGTATGGAAGCATGCCGCTACAGGTGATAGCGTGCACAACTCAGCACCGATTATATAAAAGCAACAGGCCGCAATGCTCAATGCACCCCACTGGCCACCGATGCACATCTTGGACAGCATAACCATAAGGCAAATGTATCATCACAAACTTGCAGACCAGCATGGGACTAATTTCAGCATCGGTCGCTTTTTCAGGGGCACATCAAAATGGGCTCAGCATCGTGCTGCTTTGCTGCAGAAAACCAGCTTGCATAATTCCTGCTGAAATGATATAATCTTGTGGCCAGTTCAAGGGCTGCCCAGAAGCAGTGCACAAAATCATCGTTCCTACACTGACAAGTTATCTGGGAAACCACTGTGGTTGCACATGGTAGGCAGTGACTGGCAGTATTCACTAGAGAAAGCACGCTGACAGCTCCCTCACAATCACATACTCCTTAATTGCCGCAGTTGTGAGTTGCTGCTGCTTTTGGCGGTGTTCGCAACAGGCCTGCGCCACAAAAAATGTACCGCACTTGTTGTGTGCTGCACAATATTGTGGTATTCTGTCTGTGCTAGTCATAGCTGCAGTTAGTTGCAGTATTAGCAACACCAATAGCACAACCAATGGTCACATTTACTTCAATTCCTTTGTTCCCTTGTGTATGTGCAGGTCACCAGGTAAATACTGAATTGCAAGGATAGCAGCATCCTATGTTCGATGCAGCTGCCCATTATGTACAGAGGAGACAAGGGAAAAGGGCCATCACAATTGGCTTAAGTTTGAGATGACAGTTGAGGGGTTTCGCTCCACTTACAATCAGGGTGGGGGGCGTCTGATGCTGCTCACACTGTGGAGGCAGCGGTGAAAACTGCCCCGAAGATGGCGTTAAGTGGGAGCTTGCCTCATGTGTGGCCTGACAGCAACAACACGGTGCTTGTTTGAAGGAAGCAAGGCTCAATTTCTATCTCGTTTTCTTTCCAGATAGCAAATCATTATCACAAAGGACCTTCACCAGAAAGTGAAATACTTGGCACCCACACTCCCATTGTTGAGGCCCATCTCTGGGCAGGTGACACACTCTTGAGACAACAAAATGAAAACAGCACTGCTTTCCACAACTTCACTGCAGGTGTGGTGTTGTCAAGCAGTAAGAGATCCATCTTTGTGGACACAGCAGCACCGGCACCCAAAACAGGCATGCAAGGTCATTGAGCAACACTGAGCTGGTGCCATACTGTGGCAACACAATTTGCACAGCACACATTCCACGCAGTCAACACATACCAGTTGCCAAGCACTTGGCCTATCCTTCCTTTAAGAGCATAGTAAAATAGGAAAGCAAGCAAGATATTCTCCTGAGAATCTTGGCTATGTTTATCTATGAATTTCAGTGTGGGAAGACGATCACTTTTGGAAGCCCATAGCCAGACACATTTCCACATGATCGACATTGGAGATTTAGGAAATGGACAACAATACAACATTGTCTTGCACTGCCAGACCCTCTAGCGAGACACTAATTTTGCCACAAAAATGGTACAAGGAGAGATAGCCTGGGTCAAGGGGTTGGACAGTGCAGACATGTGTCCAGTTGAGGCCCATCTGCCCACTACCTGAGCTACGATGAGAATTGCACATCGGTGGTTTGCAGCTGGATATGGATTTGGGCTGCAGCTTTCAAAGGGTAGTCTTCCATAGATACCCTGTGCCAGGTTATTCCCAGTGCCTCGTTAGGTAAAGTAGCTGCACTTTGTCACAACCAATGTAGGAAAATCCTTTGAAAACTTACATCTTGGCAACAGGAGCAAATTGCCCTGCTCCCATGCTCACCTTCATTGGGCTGCTTTCCTTGATCAACTGGATCTCCTTTTCGATCTCTTTCACCATCTCAAGCTCATCCTGCAACGAGCGGGTGCAGGCATGCCACCTGCCCTTCATGCATGGGTCGTCAAGCTGTTTGGTGTACCTGTGAAAGTCACAATTGTTCGTGAAAATTTTGAGGATAGGTCAATATGGTGGACATGAAGTGGATCATGGACAAATAGCAGGCGATCATATTATAGGGAAAGAACAGCCTTGTGTGTTTGTATTCCTGTTTATGACCAGATAGTGCTCGCATGATAAGAAAGACATGCCAGCACCGATTAGAACATGAGCTTCAACAGCAAAACTGGGCACTCTCAGAAATGCTACCAGCAGCACTGCATGCCCTCACCAACAGATTCTATTCAACATATGTATCACCACCCCCAACGACTCCAACAAAGTTTGGATACGAACACCTTTTGGAACTTTACATCGCCTTGCAACTTCTTGCTAGGTGGCAAAGACTTGCATTTCAGTTGGTTGTAAAATGGGGGAGTGGGGGGAGGGGCACTTCCGCTCTCAAACGTGGATTAATCTTTTAGAATGACAAAAGAACCATATTCAACGGTGTGGGCAAGATTATGAAATTCCTGCGTTCTTCGCGGAGAAATCAATACCAAGCCACGATTGCAACCTGCTCCCGAACATGCTGCGCTCTATCAGCGATCCATTGGCAGGAATCCCTTCATTCTGAGGCCAAATCGAGGCTTCGCCACGCGGGGCTATTGGTTTTGAGTGGCGTTGGACGTCTAAGGCGGGTCCACAGGCCAGGGGGGGCGCAGATAATAAACCCCGCAGTTCCGCCCTCGATTTCCCAAACTCCACGGACCAGTCCATACCCACGTTCATGCCCACCGCACAAGGCGACAAGGGGGCACCCCAGCCCGGATCCCCAACAACACCCCCACCAATCTCCCCCACCCCTTCCTCCTCACTTGTTGATCTGGCAGATGACGCCATCGTAGTAAACGATCGCGCTGCCGTAGTCGCCCAGCATCGCGTGCTCGCGCGCCACAGCCGCCTGCTCCGCAAAGCCCGCGGGATTCATCCCGCCCGAAGCCCACCCTGGCCGTCCCGCGCCTCCCAGTTGCCCTGTGCGTTGGCCAAACTGCGGTGCCAACTGGGGCGGGAACAGCCCGCAACTGAACTGCGGGGCCGAGAATATAATAATCCATCTGTCTTTTCCGAAAAAAGACAGGGCCAACGCCAGTGAGTGGGTCAGCGGTTCCCCTTTAGGAGAAACGTAGTTACCCGCTGCCTTCCAACGTCAGCATCCAGGCCCCGGACCGGGGCCGGGCCGCGCCGGAGTTGCCTCGCTTCACGCTTGCTGGGGGCGAGCCGTGCCCACCCCGAAAACGGCTGAGTCGTGGGACGGGGCGCTGGCGCTCCCCCTCCGCACTTCCGCACGTCGGCGCCCGTGGCCGTCGTCGCGGCAGGCCCGGCGAGCGCCATCGGCGTCGCAAATCGTTGCCCGTGGGGGGTAGCCTCCAGGCACGATTCCGAGCACGGAGCAAGCACTGGAGCGCAGCACGCGGCGGACTAAGTCGCTGGCGCCAAAAGCCTGTCGCCGGGTACAGGTCCCATGGTAAGTGGAGAACAACGCCTCACAGCCCCTGCGTGATAGGAAGGCCTTCATGCACACTGGGGAGCATGTGCTCTGTGTTTCTGGAGGGGGTGGGGGTGTTTGAGCATCGACAAAAAGATCCTGCATATCCTTACAGCCGGAGAAGCAGAACGTGCTCAACAAGAGGCACAAGAGCTCGTGGCGAGCGTCTCTCATTATGGGAGAAGGATTGGGTTCGATTCCTAGTTGTGCCTTACACCACCGTTCACACGTGCTCCTGCATCATTAGTGTTTCCCACCCTTTTCTGTGCCAGAAAATGCTACCGATCTAGTGGATCAAACGACAGATCTTGTGCAACCGTTGCCCTAGTAGTCTTCCTGCTCCTCCCTTAATAGGAGTTGCATCAGCAGGCCCCAATCCTCCTCGGATGGTGCGATGCACTCTGGCACTGGCAAAAACCAGGATTCGTTCCTCCGTTCGAGTGCCAGCCAGCTCAAAGTGTCTGTTGCATTCTCTTTCCGCTTTTTTGACTCTTTTCCCACAAGCTTGTTCACTTCAACCCTCTTTCTCTTCCCGTTGCCCTCCCTCAACACTTGCTTACATATTAGCTTCCTTCTCACTGAGGAGAAGCTATCGCATCACCATTGGTGACTAGATCTTCAGCACCTTCTTGGGATCCTCTTGGAATGGTTGGCGGCTTGCTCTTCAATTGCCTCCCTCATGCAAGTGCATGTTGTACCCTTATGCACACAACCCACATATGTGACTTGCAAGGAGTACTCATGAAGTGCAATCCACAACTATGAGGCACAAGGATTGAACGATGATTCTATTGCAAGAATGACAGGGAATGAAAGTGCTTATGTGCTACATAAAGTTATGATTGGCAAGAAATGTAATTGGCTATGCGTGTTGATAACACTACTGTGCAAGGAGAACGTTTTGGTGCTAGTTTCGATATGTCAACTTGTCAACTTTGGTGAACAACATTCATTGAACAACATTCACAAGCATGACTGATTCCAAGCATAGTGCCAGGTTGAGTGTCATGTCCCTTTTGATTCCATACTCAGATGCTATCTTGTTGTTGTCGAAGTCCTTCCCCATCAACTAGAGTCTATGCAAGCATACAGGGATGGCTGCCAACTCCCGATCTTCCTTTTGATCACTTGGATTCTGTCACACACGTCAATTTGCAAGTCGATGCTTTGGCCTTCAAGAGTCTTCACAAAGATTTGAAGGCATTTGCGATGTGGTGCATGCCTGTGGGGAAGCCATGTGGGCCTCAAAGGCAAGACGGGCTGTGATGCCCAGATCAGCAGTTGCAAGAGAACATGAAGCATGCAGCATGTTGCCAAGGCTTCATTGCTTGTGCAAGGGGCATGAAGGTTGCACAACAGACCCTGACAAAGTGCGCTCACAAAGCACAACATGGTAACAATCGCAACACACAAGGTGCAGTCGCAGGGCACAATGGCCTTCGCTATAACCTGTGCGCTATTGTGGAGCTGTGCACAGAGGGCAAAGCAAGGTTGCAATCTCACGGCAGGTCATCCAAGGATATACAGTGATTTGGTCCACTCTAGCCACACATTCATGCTTGTACATAACGTCCTGTCCATCCACACACTCGTACATAATCCACTTCATAACATATCATACAGAACATCTGAGCATATTATCACACGCCTCCTAACTGCACCAATCATGAAAACAATTCAATAATACGGATGCAAAAAGTCAGAATATGATGTAATGAGTTGGTATCCGTCAACATGTGCCACTGTCCACAATGACCATGATATCCTGCCCTCTATAGTCCATGGACCTGTCCAAAAGGGTGCAAATTCGTCATCAAGTCTTTGAGCCCTCACATGGTCATACAACCACACTTGGTCACAAACACAGCATTGGTGATGGACCAACTTCTTTTCTAAGCATGCACTGACTCTTGCTCTGAACCTTGCCATCCGTTGGCAAATAATGTCCCACTCACGAGGCCCTGTATTCCAAGCAGCTAGTGGTGACAATCTGGTGAGCATATGTTGTGTAGTACGCATTGCCTTCAAAGCCTCGCTCACCACAGACTGCCAATCCTGAGTTCCTCTTTCTGCCAGAAGACGTTGTATCCTACCAGTGAAGGTTTGATTGGTCAGCACTACCATACCATTGGATTTATGGTCGCATAAGGTCGTTAAATCTAAGGATACCCATGTTCTTTGCACCATGCCTTCAGTTTCAGCGAACAAAAATATGTCGCATTGTCACAAACCATGGACTTAGGAGTGCCTCATTGCCGAGTCCATTTTTCAAGCCCTTTAACGACAGTCGCTACATTTGAAGCTCTGCAAGGAATCGCGTCATACCAGCGAGTTAAGTAATCCACGATCACCAAGAGGTAGCGAAAGTTTCCTTTCGATCGGCGAAGGGGCCCAATGAAATCAATTCCAATCAGTTGGCCAAGTGCTGATGACTCTGGTAAATGCCCTAGTTCATCACACGGTCTGAGTGGCTGGAACATCTGACATGGCTTGCAACATTGCACACGATGCTGTACCTCACGTAGTGTTGTCTGAACACCAAGGCTGCTCAAATTCTGAAATGTCTTCAAGATGCCAAAATGTCCACGATGTGCCCTCTTCCAAACATCTCCTGAAATGGAATTCAGTACCTGGACACAAACTGATCTTCCTTTTGGTCTTTATACCTGTGTTTTGACGTCATCTTGAGGCCATTTTGAAAGCAAGTCTGCTAACTTTTTTTCTTCAAGTGGCACAAATCTGAATTCAAAGTTGACCCCCAGCGCAAAGTTGCCCACAAGGTAGCCCAGCAAACGAAGTACACGCCCATAATCTTCTTGCACCCAATTGTCCGGGTTCTGCAACTTCTTCCATGATGATTGTGAATCTGTGAAGACAATGAGCTTCTGGCCTTGTGTAATAAACAATGTCTGTTTGATCGCCCACACAATGGCATCTAATTCTCCCAAGAATGAAGAAGTCCAACACTTCCACTACGTAGAACGACGAGAACCCAACCAAACAGGAAGGGCAGGAGTAGAGGAAGCAAATAAGGCATAACCAAAGCCATCGCCAGTCTGAAACCAATCAGTGTATAGGTGATAGGCCACACAGGGAGCAAGACGACAAAGATGAAATTGACCCCACAAAATACGAGCCCACAAAGTGTGAAAACAAAGATTGATAGAATGCCAATCCAGATCACGAGAAGTATGAGCGAGTGCATAGTAAGGTGCCAAGAAGGAAGCAAGATGAGGAGTGAACCGTCGAACCACATTCAAAGTGCCCAAGGCAGAACGAAGAGACTTAACACCAATGATGATCGGAAGTGTGGAAATCAGTTTCCGCACATAGCCATCAACCCATAAGAAGCACCTGAAATAGTGCAACCCAAGAACATCATTGTAGGTAGGCGAAACTGAACCTTATCTGGATTGAGATGAAATCCATAGTGTGAAAGTTTCTGAAGAACAACTTCCACATTGGCATCATGTTCAGCTAACATACGACCACCGTTAATGATGTCATCCATATAGTGGATGCCATGCGTCCCACGCAAAATGCTGGCTAGAATGCTATGAAACAAATATGTGGAAGAATTCCAGCCCTGGGGAAGACGATTGAATCGAAGCCGGCGACCACGAATTCAAAACAAAAGTGGTGCTTGATATCAGAGGCCAAAGGAATATTATAGACCCGTTCTCCACATCAAATATAGAGAAATGCCGCCATGAAGAGGGAATTGAGGCAACCACATGATGCACCGGAGGCATGGCACAGGTCCAAGTACAGGAAAGAGAATTTAAAGCTGTGAAAATCAACCAGAAGGCGCACTTTGCGAACATCCTTCTTCGGAATAAAAACGGCCTGAGAAAAGAATCCCTTCTCCATTGGAAGCATCTCCTCCAAAATTCCTTGCTAAATCAAACGATAAATAAGAACATGAACAGGAATGTCAAACACAAGGACAACGGCTGATATGAACAGTGAGAAGGAAAAGGAGCTGGAGCCAGCCACTCCACATCCCGGAGGCCAATCGCCATTGATTGCATCACATCCTTAATCATCATGGTTGCAGGTGAAAGATCAAATACCCTTGCAAAACGTTGAACAAGGCCAGCCAACAAAAGCCCATCAGAAGCACCAAGGGGATGTACTTGGTTGGGTGATATATCCTGGAAAAACCGCACTTGACCATAAGGGCCATAAACTTGAGAAGTAGATGTAGAAAAAGCCACACAACGCATCTTGGGCGTCAAACGAACAGGTCCATTAGTCAGTTTCTGCCAAATCACCCACAACTTACCATTAGCATTGCCTTTGAGATAACATCGAGCGCCCTTCAAATTGAAGACTTCAATGGAAGGCAATCGCGCCACATATGTCCTTCTCCTAAGGGAAATCTGTAGGGC